AATGATGATGATTTTCTAATCACCACGGGTATTACATTTCATTAAGATTGATCATACAGTTAAATTACTGTATTAACAATTCGAATATGAGAATGGGTGGTGAAGGCTCTCCAATCGATATCGGTATTACGAAAGGTATATCAGGGAAGTGATTTAGTCTATATGGGTACTTAAAATTATCGTCAGCCATTTTAATATTCCGTGTTTCAGCACTCTTTTCTTGAGTAATAAACGGTTTCTCTAGCATTGATAGATTAAGATTAATCCCACAATTAAGATAGAACAATTACAAGAATGTAAAAATGGATGTAGGAGGCTTTCTATTCGAGAATGGGTATTATAAAAATTATTTTTTCGGGAATGTACTTCAATCAAGATAGGTAATAATTCTCTTTAGCACTGGTTTCTTGGATTATCGATAATCTTAGAATTTAATTAAGTGCAGTTGCATACAACAATAGTATATTAAAAAAGTCTTTTATCAGCATAGGTAATAATCTTCAGTATGGCGTTATAAATAATGGTTAACCATAGAATTAATTTAAGTGTATCAATGAGTAGGTAAAGATGTATCAAAAGGAATGCATTAGACTTCGATGATTATATCCAACATACGGTATACTGATAATTCTATTAACTATTACTTTGTCGAATACATCAGCTTATTATGTATTCGTTGATGATTCCATTGTTTTTTCATTTTGGTATTGAATTTTTAATATCAAGAATACCTTATATGAACATCTAATCAAAGATGTAAGATGAATGATAATGTAGAATAATGGTTATATCATAAGCATGATTATTTAGGCAAGCTAAAATAATTACTCAGACAAAACTATTAAGCTGCTATGACGTAACAGCATGAAATAAAGGCTGGTAATCATAAGCAAAAGTTAGTAAATTAGAACTATCGGCAACAGATTTTATGTCAAGCTGTTTATGATGTCACAGCCTTAATTAAAAAGCACGATCTGTTAGCACCAATTTATCGGTTTGAAGTAAATAGACGGCCATTAGAAATATTATGCAATCCGCTAGAATGTATTAGACTTTTAAAATCAGCTATGACAGCTCGAAATGACTAGACTGTGATATCATAGGAAAGACTACCTGGGGAAATGTTACTTTTAATGATTATAATGCATGCTGCGCTGGTATAATTTCATGAAAGATTTATTGTTTATAGAAGCATAGAATAATGAAAGTATTGGCAGAGGATGATTCAATTAATTTATTGAAACTTCTATACGCTTTTATACCGAATTCGGGTTATAGACTTCGATTTCATTTTCTATATTAAAGCCAAAATGATTATTGACAATCCTATCCATCTTCAAGATATGTCTGAATTGTCAATTTATAGTTTTAAGTTTGTTATTGTGAATATTTTGGTGAGTTTGTCGCGATATAGACTTGATGACCTTAGATTTGCAGTGTGTTTTATTAAATCTAAAAGCAAGAATGAGATATTGTATTGTTTACCAGAAAATTAAATTGCTTCCTGGACGTCAGTCTAGGAATTTATATATAGAAACATACTCTCCGTTCTACGTATAAGCATTTGTCGTAGAGGCTGTGCAGTTACGAAAGAACAATTTTTTATAGAGACTAACAATTTTTACCTATTTTCTAATTCTCCTTCTCATTTTTCTCGAAATAGAATATCATTGCTAGATATTATACGCGAATATTTTTCCTTGACAACCCTCTATATTGGATTATACATAATTATTTCAATACCTAATCATGCGAGCAGATTGTAACAGTATAGGTTTTACTTTCGGTAAAGTTGTCTATCTATCTAATCATTAACGATATTGTATCAGTGACCGCACTAATGTACAATTGGATTATGGATAATTAATGTATCAAATAATTTGCTTCTTTATTTATACTAATTTAAATTCTTCTAGATAGATAGATCATAGTAAAGGGTGATAGTTGCGAAAATTACTTTATATTTCCTACTTTCTCGTTATAGAAGATGGATTATTCATCCTATCTTCTAGCAGGCAAACAATTCTCTTGTACAAAACATGGTTATCATTTCATTGACGAAATGAAATTTTACTTGTTTTGTCTTAATAATGTCTATAAATTTAAAATGAGATTAGAATTGAAAGGCGTGGGTGAGACAATTTATCGAGCCTTAAGTCTATAAAGTGATCGACCTTATCGATTGCAGCCTAGTTCGTCTATCATTCGGGTAGAGATTAACGCTAGTAATTTGACATCATTCTGAAGAAATATCATTAATTAATTATGCACGATCGCTTTTATTTAATCTCTTCACCTTTATCTACCTTTGTGCTATTGACGTCAGTAAATTTATTAGGTAGCTAGATGGACAGAGATATTGTTATCGTTAAATCAATAAATCTACAAATACATGCAGTCTTACATAACACATACCTATGGATATCGAATATTATAATGGAAGATAATGCGGTTGCTAAGAATACTGTAATGTAGCAAAGGCAACTTGTTTATATTGTTACACATTACAATAATTCATTCTAAAGTGCAATAAATTATAACATTATTATGTCGAACTTATTTGGGCATAAACTATTTTAATTCGTGTGCGTGCATATATCTGTGTCAATCAATTATTCAAATGTACACCAAAGCTGTGGAGATATAGCAATTATTGGTGTAGCTAGTTTACTGCGTAGTAAACCAAAAATTTATTTTACACCATTTATTTTATAGCTGAGATCGATTCATTTCAAGCATTATGATTCGCTTTAATCTGCTGATCATACAATCGCTCTCAACGATGATCTAAAACACGTTTGATGAACTAAAATGAGGCAATAATTAAAATTAAACATATGATAGATATTCATTATTGATGATCCAGCCACTAAAGCACTTATTAATAGCATGGCTAATTTTTTGTCTTGGTTATATAATTTTGCTATTATTTTATAACAGATTGAAAATAGAAATGATTCAACGCAATTTTATAGGTATTTACTGTACAATGGCAATTCCATAAAAAGAATTGATTCCTTGATTCTGAAAATAATGCATTCCAATTGTCAACATGCGAACTGCTGCAACGCCTTGTGGCATTGCTGTATCAACAAAGCATGTACGAAGAAGGTATAAATATCATCAGATCTGGTTGGACTGTTGATATTAGGGAATCTTAATCTTTTGGAAACTCTCAATCTACTATTACCTTGGTGCCTATAACTGCAAGATGAAAATCCAATCACTAATTTTGATGATTTGTATCCTTACACTGACATCATCAGTCTTGGCTATGCCTGGCAACAGCAAGAGGACCGACAGAGTACTACTAAATGATTGGTTTCGATCCCTAATTGAAAATAAAGAACAGCGTTGTATTAATCCATTATCTTGTCAATCACATTTGGACTGTTGTACGGGCTATGAATGCTATACTGTTCCTGCAATTTGTGCCTTACCAACTGAAAATAACTCTGGCGTCTGTTTTTATGAGCAAATCCATTGCTAGTCAGTCTATTAATGGTAATTTGATGTTAATATGCTGATCAATCTATCTAGAAAAAATAACATTTTCCGATTTAGATCAAATTTATTTATAACATCATTAATAAATAGATTGTTTATTGAATTATCTTTTCCAATATGATGATATGAAATTATGATTAGTTGAAAAGCAAATCTAAACAAAATAATAGAGAAAGTAGAATAGAAGAATGATAAAGTTCTTTATCAGTTGATAGTTTAGATTCTAAGCTATCGATTAAAAAATGAATAACCAATGTGTCTTAGTAATTGAAATGTCATTCCATGCGTAATATTGTCTTGAATTTGATAAACAAGTTTCAATAAATCATATCCTGTACCGGCATCAATTTCAAACCTTTCTATCTTTCAACTGAGTGATGTGAAATAGTTTCATACGAAGCTTAATCTTTAGATTGTATAGCTTGCGATAGCGACTCAGGTCAGTTTTGTTTAATATAAAGGCACTCACTTGATGAAGTTTCATTTAAAAAATTTAACATACTCTCTAAATTCATAAGCAAGTTTCAATAAACATTTTCGGCTGGCATCGTTTTCGACGCTACTCTCTTTTAAATGCATAGCGCATGCGATACTAATACTATCCCGAAAAATTTAATATCTAGACCGTTTAGAGTCTACAATTTCGGCTTTAGCTCATTTTTATGTTCGTAGATGCTATGTCCTATTGGATTGCCATAATTCTTATAAGAGGGAGAGACTATTGTTATGATACTTACATATAATGCCTAGCCTTTTAGTAGTGTTTAATGATCGGCAACGGTATTTACTGTACACACAAATCCTTAATATGAAATAATCAAATGTAAGGAGATTAAATTCAGATCTGAATTTATTAAAAATTTATCAGTTCTTCATAACTAATAGTTTTATAAATGTCAAGTAGTAGTGAAAAAGATGTTTGTTTATACTTCACGTGCATGAAAGTAGAATAATACCAACTTTGACACTCATTATTGGCAAGAAATTGTTAAGAAGCACGTGCGAATATGATATACCAGTATATGCGCGTATATTCTGTATCGATATATAGATTTAATATCGAAGTCAGAGATCCTTACTCGATAATTTAAATTAACGTGAACAATTTTATTCGATTTACTATCGCTATCATTTCTCGGAAGTCAAAGAAATGATAGTTTTGTAACCCATGTTACTAGAAAATCTGTGCGGATAAGATGTTTCAAGGTAGAGTTGTTTACGTTTGTTTAGCAGAAATATAGCTATAGATTCGGATACTGTCTCGTTAGAGTAAGGTAGATATTATGTTATTTATTACAATAGTAAATGTATCATACAAAACATGGCTTCATGTAACAAATAGTATCAGAAACTCTTTACTAGATAACAGATTTCAAGTTCGACATGTATAAATTAGGTAAATGATAAGGGTTCTTTCTGTAGTTACATCATAAGCGTTACTTGTCGTTAGATTATTTACAAGCTACTTTACAAGGTGTCCAGTAACCGCGTTATTACGCTTTCTTTTTCTTCTTAGCTATGCGTAAGGTAAAATGTGTCCTATAAAAATAATTTTTTGTTTATTTTTAAAGCAAGTTCAATTTGTAGTATATATTATTATTGTGAACTTACTGGCAAGTAGGGCAAACAGGTACAAACTTGCAAGAAACTGTTGGTGAAAAGAAGGATATACAATATATTATACATTCAAGTCTTGCTAGGCATTAATATCTTTCTACTGATATTAAATTCTTACTAGATAGACAGACTGAACAAATATATCCAATTTCAATCAATTCTCTATGACAAAAGCACGCAGCACGATAGTCTACTTTAGCCTTTGGAGGTAATATTAGGGTTTCTCGCATCGATTGATTTGGTAAGAATGCAGTCTAAAAGATTGAATCAAGCTTATTAAGGAGTGTACATTCTTCAGATCATAGAGCTCACGAGACCAATACATTATGATATCCTGCGAAGAACACGTTCATTCTACATACCAGAAGGTACTGAAGTAAACCAGACGGTGATTGTAATTTCAGGTAAATTCCACCAGTTATATCGCATGCCTATCATATTTGTATTTGATAGTGGAAGATATTAGATATTCAGATACAGTTCAGATTTTACAAAGAAGCATGATATTGAAATAATTTAAAACCTGCTGCAGGAATCCTGAATCTTTCTCTATAACACATGCATCGATAGGAACATTCTAGAATAACGGTGATGGTAAGAATTTGAAGAGCATTTTTTCGTTGTACGTGAAATACAAGTTAAAGTTAATAACGACTGCTGGAAATAACATTGCTCGTAATATAACTCATAAACAAACGCATACTAACGTATTTTTGAGCTGTAAATATGCAGTTCATGATAGGTAAATATTGAAACGATGTGTCAGGGGTGCATTTTATAACTAAAATTCTAGATTTCGCTTGACCTTTGTTCCCTGCATTGTAATAAAAATGATTCTTTACTTGCATTGTAGCCTACTTTGACTTTGAAATATGACACCATGAACGACAGTTATACGCATATCTTTTTTTTCTGCGATAATACTTACTAAGATCTTGATCGACGTGATTATGAATGTCTATAAAAAGAAAGAATTTAGGCTTTAAAGTTCGATAAGCATCTCAGAAGTTAGAAATGAATTACACGAATCATTTAGTAGTAAATTTATGCATGGCACAGTATAATAGAATTGCAAGAGCAGTCAAAATGATGCAAGTTTCGTCGAGAGTTTTGTTAGTAGAATCTATTTACAGCATAGTGCCATATTTAGAGCGGAGGATAATTTGATAGTACATTGGTTCTCTCCTAAATCGAAGTACAAACGTATATATTACTACACTTGCAATTATCAACAATATATCAATGAAATAAGCAGCTGGCGAAATTTCTTTCTCGTTAACCATTAATTGTATTGTATATCATGAACTACTTGTACTTCAGTGCAGACCAAAGCTCATTAAAATCATAATTTTAATCGCAATTTTTCAAAACAGAATTTATCCTAGCAAAATCTTCGAATAACGTAGATCCGTTACAAAGTTATTTTACGGATAGAGTATCCTTAGCTGCCTCTAATACAACAAATAAACCATAGCTACATAATATTGACACTAGTTTACGGCAGGTTCAGTATAAAACTCTTACCTGCTGTGGCCATTTCTTGGACAAGCTCTTTCACTCTAGTTTCGATGATGTAGTTGATATGACTTAATTCTTCATGTCTGCCATCTTTTGCTATATTTACTGTACTATTAGAGTTGGTATTTTTAATCCAATTATCCATGTGTGGCGAATACAAGTAGCAACTATAAAAATAGACATTGAAAGTTTCGGTAAACCTCTCGGACTGCTGTTAAGTAGCAACGGATTCCAATTTCAATAATTATAATAGAAATGGAACCTTTCATCATGTAGCATTATCTGAAAAAGGCGTATTACGTTTTACTCTATTCTGATTTGCAACAATATTATTTCGCATTCTTGTATAATAAATAGTAATGAAACGTGTCATTTCATGATTGTTGTATCTCTACTCAAAACTACGAATTTACCGTCCATTTGCATATGCATAATTGTCAAATGTGGCTACCGTCTATTTTTTGTCTTGATTACATCCAGGAAATATTTCAAAGAGTTTTAATCTATCAATTACCATCTTTTAATCGATGGAGACTGATTGTTGCTTACCTTTTGTTGACATGACTTGCAATGACAGCGATGCTATTTCGATGGTCCATCATTAAATGAGAGTTGATATAGACTACTATATTTTCGATATACCTTGTAAAATCCATCTATGTAAAAGGGGGTACATAAGGGATAAGTAATAGTATAATGACAATTATTACCATATTACAGGCACCATTCCACGGTTGCAATCTATGATGCATCGATAGTTATGCTCATTAGCTCGCTATTACTTATTGCTAAGTTATCCATGAGGGGATGAATTGAAATGGAGAAAGATGAATATTAACACAGTTACAGTATTTCACCTAATAATCTTGGGTTAAGTATTTGTTTATTTAAATCTACATTACAGTTGAAACTTAGCATTCAAGTATGAATAGAGCATCGTCTACTGATCGCCGCCATTCATCCACTTGGCTCCTTTGTAGAGTTCAAGGCAGCGAGTGTAGAGAATAAAGTACGAGAGTAGCAATAACAATTCATCGAACCTCTGCAGCAAAAGGAAGCCATGCTAATGGATTTGTATCGATCACGAGTATTAATAGATTCTCTCCGCTTCTTCCTTTTCGATATAATCCAGCGTGTTGCCAAGGAATAACATTATCATATACGATAATCAATCAAATGCTCCATTAGTTGCAGATTGAGAAAAGCGCTAGCATGTTACCATGCTAGGAACAGTATCATTTCAAGGCAAAATAATCCACATGAAAGAATCAATACAGCGAAAAAAGTAGATAGAACGACAACATTCATCCATCAGTATAACAGCTAAGATGATTGTATTCGATACTTTTATGCAGAATGGGCTATAAGATGGCAAAATGGATTGCTACATGTCTACTTACTTGTGCCCATGGTGGCTTCTGCAATCTGGAGGCAAATCCGTTTGCAGCAACCTATCTGTACAATGCACACCGTACAGTACAACACAGTACTGTTCACTGTAAAGTATAGTACTGTACATTGTACACTAGATCAAGATGGACGTTGATATTGAGTACCATGTAGCGAGCGGAATCTGGTAGAACGCATATATGTCTTGTAAAGTCTGTGGTAGTGTATGGAAGTCTTGGCCATCTCTAGTCGACCTGAGAAAAGTTCGGTTATCAGACGTACTGCAGACAGACATGCGAAGCCATACAGGTTGATAGAGTCACCATCATTCAATACTACAGTAAGTGGAAAGGATGTTTATTCATAGTCCTGTGAGTTTTGTACTCTGCAGTCTTACTCATTTAGATATGTTAAAGAGGCCTTGAAGTTCAGTCCGATGCGATTAATCAATCTTAGCCTGGAACTAAATGAGATCTTGTCACCCATTTCTCCGATGAGAACGAAGCCTACTGTAACTTACAGTACCTTGGGCTTAGTAAGACTAGGGTTGTGTTCAAACTACCAGTAACAGTACAGTAGCTGTATCAGCATGCGCATTCATGCTGCACCAGGCTTCGGCCCGTTACGGTACAGTAGACTACAGTATTTCCCTACAGTACTTAGATTTGCATTTTACTGTACTGTACACTGTACAGGACCAGACCATCAAGACCTACAGTACAGTACAGTACAGTACTGTACAGTACAGTACAGTACTACAGTATACTGGTGACGCATACAGTACATGTACTGTAAGCGGCACCGGCGTAGGATTAGCACAGGCCAACGCCGGCAGACAGAAGTTATCGGCTAACATTTTATCTCCACTCCATAGAAGCGATCGTAGTAGTTTGCAGGCAGCATGTAAGTCTATCAATGTTTATTTGCAAATCGATGATAGAGCTGTGATCGATTGGCTATCATGCCATTCATTTAGTTGGAAATGTTACGCAAGGTGTTGTTTTGGTACACTGTAAAATAGATTGGAACAGTAACGAATAGACAGATACAGTGGTAGCAGGTTATGTTAATGTCTTCATGATGGCTCAATAGTAATTGGGTAGCAATCCAATCTTTATAACCTCATTTAACTCAATTGACTTTCATTAATAGCCCACCATGGCGACTGTCTCGGAGCAGATGGAAGCAAGTAATGAAAAAATCTCGGTACAAGATCACTCGGTGGATCATCTTACACCGTTATCACAGACTTTAAATAGTTATGAAGGTATCATGCTGATTAGATTACAAGGGACAAGAATTCATCATTAGTCTTTACAGCATATGAAGAAATGATCATATTCTGCTGTTATTGCGTTACTTACATGGTGGAGATGTATGATATATGAATCGACCTATTGGCTGTAGCGAAATTTGACCTAGTTATTGTAACTCCAACCTTAATGCAAATTGCTTGCTGGTACTTTTTCGGGATGGAAACAGTGAATGTTGATCCTGTTTCATGAATAATACGTGTATTAAATTAGTTATCGATGTTGATTCCTGTAGTGATAGCACGTTAGTAGTAATTGATATGGAAGAGATCATTATGAATAGCTGGATGAGTATAATATGATCGTATTGCAGTAAACTAATGTAGGAGAGTTATTCCTTCATGTTGACTGTTGTGAAATATTGTAAGATTGGCACATGGATGCAAGTACAGTTAGCAGAAAGGTCGTACAGTATTGAGCTATCAACCCTAACCTTAACGCTATCAGTTAAAATGCTAATATGCGAGTATATTAAATTAAAGGATATCATGACGTTTGCCGTATACCTCCATACTAGAATTAGCTTGTTATCAGCTAATATTATAGGTTAATGTTATTCACAATATATCACTTCATCCACACATGTGAACTCGTATTACTTGGACGTGCATGAATCTGCTGTCTATTGATATTTCACTTTACTACTACAAGCAAACTACAGACCTACTGTATCTTCTCATTACATGACTTGCAAGCAGTGGCTTATAAATATGTAGCCATCTTTCATATCGATGATAGATTACTACTTAATTATAATATCCATGTCTCAATTTGTTAAACAAACGAGCTAAAGTGATAGTATTAGTAAAATTGAATGATTGTATCTTTTAATAGACTGCAAGAATTATTTTAAGCAAAAACTTGAATTGGAGCCTATGAAATCGAACGCGATAGCTGCAATTGAAACTTTGATTGAATTTATCAGACAAGATAAATGTAAGTAAAATTTGTTTACTGTTTTCAGTATACCTTCTAGGGATGTAGGTGACTCTACGAGGTCTAGTCAACTTATACATACTGTATAATAAGACTTGGAATATTTTTGAATGAGTTGCATAATTTTATAAATCGTCACTCGTATAGTGCAATGCGCTTTACTTTGTGTATATCAAAACTACGTTAATGTACAACATGTATCAACAATATAATAGAATGAAACATATAGATGTGCGATACGTTTGAATTAGACGAGTATGGATGACCGCCTATTAATCTCTTTTCCACTATACTGTACAAACGTTCGATGCCCTCGTAAATAGCTGTACAAGAATTAAGTACCTACTAAAACGTATACAATATATAATCGTAACTGTCTATTGAAGTAATTATCAATGCTGTTTCTGTAGGTGAAACTTTATCCGAATTTCGCGAAAAAATCAATGGAACTATAGATTGCCTAACAAAGACAGATAAAGCAGTGACTTCAGTTGCCTCTGGTTGTGAGCTATTCTTGCGATTTATTACCTTAACCTCCCTAGATCAACCTGTAAGTAATTAACTTAGGCAAATGAACAATGAATATAAGGTAATTTAGGACATCACGCGCAACAACTCACGCTAATAGTATCCGACATGTTATGATAGGATTTTCAACAATGCCGAATTGTGCTAGTTAACCGAGGTAATTGTCACAATTCTTTTCAGTTAGATAATATGCTATATGAACTATTTAGACATACACTAATCTACTATGAATGTATAATTGTATTTAGGTCAACTATTCTTAAAAGAAGTATCGCAGTCTCGAATGAAAATTTCAAAATTATGCATTCCATTTATAAGTGATGGTGCGGTAAGAAGATATTTGTCTTTGACATAATAGTGGAAATTCTTTTACTCGCTTCAATATATCATAAATCACTCTTGTTAAAATTTTCAACTTTCAGACGATATTAGTTCATGCTAGATCTCGTGTGGTTATACAATTACTGAAAGATGTAGCTGCAAGTAAGAAGCGAGTCTCTGTTTTCGTTACAGAATCAAGGCCTGATTGCACAGGGTAAAGCAAAATCTTGATGCTATTACTTTTCATTGTAATGCTGCTATTTTAGAAAGATTAATGTCTATGTTTCAACTGATGGCGACCATTTTACTTGTTTTAATTTTGTTTATAGTTGCGAATTTCAACAGTGTCTGACGGAATTTGGTATTCCAACAACTGTCATCTTAGATGCAGCAGTGGGGTAATGTTCAGCTACAGTAAAAGTATTGAATGTACTCGTATTGCTAAGTTGGTATCAGTTTTACTTTGTATTTGTCTTAGTTGAGCATGACTGTTTATATCTACAATTCTTAGATATATCATGGAAAAAGTAGATTTAGTATTAGCTGGAGCTGAAGGGGTTGTCGAAAGCGGTGGTATCATCAATAAGGTGCGATAATTTGAATTTAAGGATTTAGGATACATATTCCAATCTAAGCGCTACTGGTTATTGCTAAAGTTATATTATAGAATATATATTTCTATCTGTTATAGATTGGAACATATCAAATGGCTGTTATGGCAAAACATTGCAACAAACCATTTTATGTGCTTGTTGAAAGCTTTAAATTCGTCAGACTTTATCCTTTAAATCAACACGATGTGCCGAATGAGTGGAAAGTAAGTTAACTAAATTTGAATTTTTCTCTGCTCTTCCATGGATTAAGATTAAAAACGATTGGTATTTTATTATAATAGTATCCTACTTCCCCTAATCCCTCTCCTTCTGAACATCCGTTGGTAGATTATACGCCACCTCATTTTCTTACTCTATTGTTCACTGATTTAGGCGTTCTAACGCCGTCTGCCGTCAGTGATGAATTAATAAAGTTGTACAGTTAATGCATCTCTAAATATATTGACGAAAGCTACTGGGAAACTTCAGCGGATAATATATACAATCGCATTGGTAGCTTACTTTAAATATACTGTCTTTGGAAATATTCCGATGAATTGTTAGATATAATTTGAATTTTAAACGTTTGCATAAAGTATACATGACTATAGTTACGGTAATATATACAATGTCTGAATACAACTTGTCTATGTACTTTAATCGTTTGTACATTATCACAGGTTACTGTCACCTCTGACATCTATTAACGGTACAGAGAGTATTAATGAATTATGGATTATTTAATATAACGAAATAAATAATTTTAGTAACATTCTCTGGTAATTATCCTTTAAATTAACTTTGAATGTTAATATATCATTACTGTAAGTTGCCTTTACTTTCTGTGAAATATACGAAACGTGAAAATGATTATCAGTTTGCAGAATTTATTACCTTTCGTAGTTATTAAAGTTAACAACTACACAAAATTTATGAGTACGTTGTTGGAATTTGAGGATGGAAAACTAGAATATTTTCAATGAAGTAGCCGTAATTATGTCGCAGTCATATGCGATCAAAGGCAATATTTCTAATTAAGCTCTCTGATGCATTTAATTTGTCAGTATTATATCAAAATTTCATACTGTAAAAGCATTTGCGTGGCAAGATACTTTTAGTGTGTTATGTTAGCACTGTAATATGCTTCGTGAAGCAACTGCGTTAGTTCGGTTGCCGAGATACTTTCGATATTCTATGTCAGAATTGCAAATTTTGCATTAAAGACTTAAATAGTAGTTTTACAGTTCACGGTAAGGTACGTGATGTTTCAGCCACCAAAAGGTTTATGAAGTTCCTCATTATCTTCAAGAAGTTAAAGGCACATTAAATTAAATCAAATCAATGATTGCATCGTAATCAACTACGCCATTGGGGCATTATTCACCGCAGTTGCTGACGATTCACCGCAAATTACATCTTATTTATTAATTAATTGTATTGTATGTAAAAATATTTCAATTCTAGCAACACTCTTAATGGAATAGATTGATATATTTAATTTATATTAGAGCTAATCTCACTATGCTTTCCTGAACTATCTTGAAATTGTTACGGATGACGGGCATTGTACATTCGTTTGTAGCAAATTCAAAAGTGATCGAAAAATCTTTGTACATTAGTAGAAGGACATTAAGTTAGTTACAATTAAACGAAATTATACATTTATGTAGTATCTGCAATTATACGAGCATCAATTATATCACCAGATTCTAATTCTAGGGATACTGGCGTCCTTTTCAAATCAATTCTTTCCCCATCGATAGAGAAAGCAATCGACGATAAAGGTATCCGATGAAATTTTGCATATTCCTTAAATGCAGTTTCCAAAGGCTTGAGCTGTAAAATATTTATACAATTGCGATTAAGACTGTGACGGCAGTTCTTCAGTTAAGAGTCCGTCAATTAGCAACTTACTTTATGGACCTTGAATGTCTTTGTAGCGCGACTTTTATCATCACTTTGAATTTTTATCGTTAGAATTGAATCAGTCTGGCACTTTTCAGTTCGAGTTGGCTTTTTGATAACGAAAAAATCTAAAAAATTTATAGATTCAGACGACATAGATTGCATTTAAGGGTTGTCAACTTTTAACTGATAATACAGCAATTATTCAATATATCGTAAATACTAGTCCGGCGACTCTTTCGTTAACTTAGCAAACATAATAAGTAGTTTACTTACCGAGTATATCTGTAACTGAAAAATTAATCGATTGTGGAGTATCATCCAGTTTGATATCAAGATCTTTTCTAGAGATTAAAACCTGATCCACGCCAATCATTTCTTCTCGAGCTATTGTTTCCGCAATAACTTGAAATGGCTCAGTCTGTAAAAAGGCCATTAATACCTAATTACGAATACAGAAAGTAAAATTGCTCTGTTTGCTTCGAATGAATTCGTATTTTGTACCTCCAATAATTTGTATCGCTTGATTTTATCACCAATTCGAATAGGAATGCGAACAAACTTATTTGTTTGAGTGCCGCTGATGGGATGTTCATCAAGATCTTCGTCAGGATTCTGAGAATGGGTGTCCTCATGTTCGTCAATTTTTCGTCTACATTGCAGAATTAGGCACATATCAGAAAAGATGGGTATATCCACTTCAAAATGATTCGATCATGCCTAGTACAAGGTTGCAAAGAGGCTGCTTAAAATTCCTTGTAACAGCCTATTCACAAAGACTCTCCTACCGTAGTACTTCTGCCATCATACTGTTAGCTTTCCTACATGATTATGAAGAGTAATAAAATCAGTTGTTTTACCTATACTCCTATATTGATGTGAATTAATTCTGAATTTATGATTATAAGTAATAATTAATCAACCAGGCTAGTAGAATGATTGTAATACATCTAGTTGGAGGTGAGCAAAATGTGATCTTTAAATTTACGTCAACACTAAAAATCTGCACAGCACATTTTATATACAGTTTACGATATAAAATACTAACATGATTATTTCATCTGATTCCAATTCTTTCTCGACTTGTCGACGAAGAGCATCCGTATCCACGGTCGATGTGCAGATGAGATAATCCTCATTGCTATCATTGAGGAATAGGAAAAAAAAATTTTTAAGACTTTAAGATTCCGCTAAGGTAAGCATAACTATTACTCGAGGTGAGTACTCGAGAGATTTTCTTTATGTACAGCACATTACTACTAGTTTTAGATATCGAATACCGTAGCGACTACCTAGCAATATAAGTGCTAAGTCACGGACTACTAGAAATTACCACTACTTCTAGTAGTCTACGCGTATAGTCGAGTTACGTAAGATACACTTGCAGCATTGACTCCATGTAGTTAATAAGTTAGCCAGTCTATGGCGTTCCATTATTAACTGATGCAAGTTATTTGCAAGTGTTTCGACTACGATTTGAATCTTGAAGTGATATTTTCCAATAAGGTCTTTAGCTAAGTTATTCATATAGTAGGCTCAACGACTAGGAGGTGTGGAGGAGTAATAGGAGAAGAAATATACTTGTTGATCAATGGTATTTGTAACTGGAGTATCTACAGTATTGTTATGCATATCGACTTGTATGGATAAACCTCCTAGATTATGCAATAACATTTCTCCTTAGATACTTACTTCGATAAATACGTTCTAATAATATTGAAAGCCCAAGCAAATGATTTACAACTGCATGATACAATAAAATTATGGTATGTGGTGAAGTACAAAATATGCAGAAGATGTTCAAATAGAGTCCTGTGCAGTACAGTACAGTGTACACGCAATTAGGTATCTACAGTGATGCAATTTCAGTTTCTCACCAAGTGTCTTGGGTTAAAATCTCTCTTTATACTCAGTATTTAATATCGTCAACACTGTATGACTAGCATACGGATAGTCTTGGCGTAGAGTAGATATCGTCTTTTCTTGAAATACCAGTATTTAGTTTCAGCAGGAAAGTATGATCGTCAAAGCCGTAATGCAACATCAACGCATAGTTATTCACTTGTAATTAATTCATTAACGACTAATGACAGGTTCACATTAGCAAATTCAGTATGTCTTATAACAGTAGTCGATTACCTAATTATCTCGGAATCGTCTAATTCCGTACTTTTTGATCTCGTATTTCCCTTCTTTTGTCTTTTGTTGGCCGGTTCAAAACTAATAATGTCATCATCGTCATCGTCATCAATAATGACCTTACGAGTTTGAGTTTCTACAAAATTGATCGGCTGACTATTTCGATACGTGAAGAAGCTAATTTCATCTTCTTCAGAAGTGTCCTCATCTGAACTTTTTACTGATTTATCCATACTTTGGGAAGGAAGTGTACCTGAATTCATTTCGTCTCTGGCATGATCGATATGATGGCCGACGAGAAGATCTTTGCGAAGGAATTTTTGCTAGGAGTGTGGCAGTTTTCTACAGTACTGTACAGTACAGTACCTTGACGAATTTCGAACAATAAATACTGTAAAATGCCTATCTTAGTACTGTACTGTATGCCATTAATTAATTAAAACGAGTTGTACAGTACAGTACAGTACCAGTACAGATTGCAGATCTACAGTACTGTACAGTACAGTACAGTGTACAGTACAGCACAGCACTTACTGATTGTACCCATATGGAACACCTTGGCTTGCCTTGAGCGATCTCGATCTGTGGTGAGGATGCTATGGAAAGCTGGCTCCTCAATCGACAAAATAGCCTTTAGCAGCAGGTAGAGATTATTGTCATGGATATACTCGTACAATAAACCTTTTCATATAAATTCAAATGTTAAGCTAAACTATGGAATCTCAAATCAAGGAAATTGCTCAGTTTCTAACGTTACAGACACGACCAGATATCAAGTTACCAGCTATAGAATTTATTGCAGGCCTGACTGGCTCTTCAGAGACAAATACATTAATTGCAAGGAATACTACTATCATAGATGCAGCGGTTAATTTGACTAAAGATGAAATCGAGAATGTAGCTGATGCCGCATATATAACTTTAATTAATGTAACAGGTGACGATCACGCAGCAAATTACTTATGTAAAAAGGACTACGTGCAATCTTTGCTTTTGTATGCCTTGAAGAAAACTGCTAAATATGCGGATAAAGCTTGCATGATATTATGCAACCTTACCCGTCTTAGTCAAGGCTGTGATACAACGATGGAAATATTGCAAAGTCAGGATGGAAGAAAAATTTTTAATCAATTATTAGACGCATTCTTTTGCTCTGGCTACAATAAGCATGCTACGTATCATCATGTTGCTGCAATTTTGGCCAACGTAACGCAAGTCCAAGCTGCTAGAAGATGGATATTAGATAAAGATAAATTAATCATCCAGAAATGCTTACCTTACACACAATACTATGATAACGCCATACGACGGAGAGGATTAATTGCTGTTATTAAAAATTGTTGCTTTGAAAGCGGTGAATAAATCAGCCTCTTCTTATGATGATCTGTTTGTTTTGTTGTGTCTAATTTTGCAATCATTTAAGAATCGATTGATGTACCATGTTTTATAGATGGTTGGCTACAATTGATTGTATGTCTTGTTTTGGCACGTTTTACAGATTGTAACGAATGGCTGCTCGGCGAAGAAATAGACATTTTGCCACATTTGCTACTTCCCTTAGCTGGACCCGAAGAATTAAAGCAAGAAGAGACAGATCGTTTACCATTAGATTTGCAATACCTTGGCGAGGACAAAGTTAGAGAACCGGAAGCAGATTTACGAATAATGCTGATAGAAAGTTTGATGCAGGTTGCTACATATTGTATTATCTAGTACTCATGAAATACTTTCATTTTCAAACTTGAATGATACGCAGTATTATGCATATTGAACTTCAGCATTCTGCTGTGTACCTACGTACGCATATATGGATAATAGTAAAGGTTCGATTATTACGTTATTAATATTGATTGTACGATGCTATCTGGCAAAAATTTTAGTTGTGTGCTACTAAACCATGTCGGATGTATATAAGAGAGAAAATGGCTTACGCTATCCTACGTGAATTACATCAGTGGGACAAAAATGAAGACGTCCTTTCAACTTGTGAAAAATTAATCCAGATATTAATAGGTGATGAGCCTGAGGCAGGAATGGAAGATCTACGTAATGTGACTGTACCGGATAACTACAGTATAACTGACAAATCTGAAGCAATTGTTAAGAAGTAGTGTTTCAACTTTCTAGAGGATATGATTGGATTATTATTTTTATTGGCTATTTTTATATTCGACACATACTATACGTATTATAGTCAAGATTATACTGTAGCTTAATCACTTATTTGTACATTTGGATCCGATGAAGCGCTACTGTATGCTGTGATCTTAACGTGTTTGCCATTTCATTGCAATAAATTACTCTAGTGAGTTATCACTCACTACAAATTGAGAATAAATTACGTAGGAAAAAGTATATCTATAGTAGCACCAAGCTGCTAATGCACTAAATCCATGCCTATGCTATGATTTATCCTATATAAATTATACTGTTTGGAATCCATGAATGATTGATTCTTGTTTACGCGTATGTACTCTTTGTCATCTTCATATTAACGAACTACTTTATACTAGCTTGTTATGGGATCATTTCGCTGTACTACTAGTTTGTAATCGAAACTCGTTTACACTTTTTAACTTCAGCTGCTGTACGCTTTGCTGAAAAGACTTCGTAGTAAGCATGGATAAAGTTATTAATTATTGTTTTATATACTCGCACCGAGACAGTACAAGTACTGTACTTCTATTACATTTTCATTCTATCCATGATCTGATAGCAAAGTTATCGAGATGCTAGGATTCTCAAGACATGACTGATAGTGAATAAAAACAAGTATAATTTCTTATCCTTTAGTAGGCCTGAGAAAGGTAGGGTTCGCTTCAATACCTTGATGATCTATAGACCTTTAGTACTGATTTCCAGAGATTAGTGGCACCGATTAAAGTGAAATCATTGCATAACTGTATTGAACTCTGTTTTTGAAGTTTCTATAGTGAAGTTTGGAATAAATTGTTGTAGAGTACTGTATACTAGCTCTACTATCCGGCCCATTACTGGCCGCTTGTGGGATTTTACAGCACTGACAACCTCAGTACATTATTTACTTGCACAATCATTTACCATCACTGATGAATGATAACTATAATACAATTAGCTAGCAATATGTAACATAGTATTCACACTATGATAGTAAGTGGTAAGGCTATTTGATTAGAGACGGTATCTGTTTTGAGTCATTTTGATTCCAACATCTTCCATCTCTATGCTATTCGACCGACAATGTTTAGACCGTAGCAGTTGTTGTGGAGATCACGCCATGTTCTTGTACGTCTTTGTACAATACTGTACGTGCTTACATTGGTGAAATTGAGGATGTACTAAGACGAAAAGAACAATACAGGTTATGGACTTTTCGATTTCTTGTGGAAGAAAATCTACAAATCCATGTACAGTGTACAGCCAATACAGGTATGAAGGTTATACAGTACAGCAGTGGTTAAACTTGAGTGTGTGTGTATTTACTCTAGTAATAGAAGAACTGATCAATTGTATATATTTGCTCGTCTACTCATCATTATTCTACAGATTTAAGTTATAATGAACGTTGAACTGGAGTCGGATCGCGGGGAAAGCTAAACACAACATTAGTACAGTACTGTACTAGGGCTACGCATCTGGGTTTATTCTATGATATAATCAATCACTCATCGCAAGAACTAATCAATTGTATATATTTGCTCGTCCAGTCATCATTATTCTACAGTTTTAAGATATAATGAACGTTGAACTGGAGTCGGATCGCAGGGAAAGCTAACCATAGTAGTACAGTACTGTACTAGGGCTACGCGTCTGAGTTTATCCTATGACATCATCCATCGTTTCTGCTGTGTACAGTATACCGTGTGGTAACCGATCAAGGTGAATTAATACTGACGCTGATCGCAGAATGCTAAATTAAGGGCCCTGAGGCATACCCTGTAGTCTACAGTACCGCTATTGCTAAATAGAAGTTGGACTTTATTACTTAGGACTGACGCGACTTTTTTTATTGTAGAAACTTGCAGTGCACATCCACTGATGGTACAGCATGAAAGGATTTCATGCTGATAGTGCGGTACCAGGGACTTGTAAGACTAATACGTAATTAGTCTTAAAAGCTCTTGGCAGGACAATGATGAGATTTGCATGGACATTGTAATTATTCTTCTCATACCCATGAGAGTTGATGATCTGTCTTTGTATTGAGATGGAGAAATTGGCAATAAAGTAGACTACGAACTGATCGTATTGAACACGACTGGCAGGACGAATACGTATTCGCCTTACAAGTCCCTAGTACCGCACTATCCAATGCGAGCTTGAAGACAGTAATAATTGTAATTATTATTCTCATACCCATAGAAGTTGATGATCTGTCTTTGTATTAAGATGCAGAAATTGGCAATACAGTAGACTATGAATCGATCGTATTTAATATTGCTGGCCAGAATAGAACGTCTAAAGAATTTTGTGGATAAAATGAATCAAACTATTTTCTTCTGTCAGCTTACTACGAATGAATGAAGGGCAAATTTTTACAGTGCATTGACCACTTCATACTGAAGACAGTACACTACAGTACTGTACTGTACTGTATGTACTGTACTGTAAACGGACACTGTCGAATGTGCACTTGGTAACACATGGGGTGTGTTTTCCTGAACCGTACTACAGAGTCTACAGTACACTGCACTCTGTACAGGCTGTACAGTACTGTACAGTACAGTAGACAGAGTCTCTACAGTGTACTGTTCTGTACAGTACAGTACAGTATCCTGGAGTGCTAAAATCCAATCAATCAATCCTGTGATTTACAGTATTTAGTACTGTAGTCCATGAGTTAAAATGACTCGGCTGAGTGAGGATTGAGGAGCAGAAGACCATAGTGGTCCTTGTTTTGTGGTACTGTATTGGTGGTACTGTGTTGTATTACAGTACCACCATTGTGTGCAGTATACTGTACAGTACTGTACTGTACAGTGTTGTATTGTACTGTACTGTACAGTACAGTGTACAGTACTTACTACTATTAGAGCTTTTGTTTGTTGTACCGTACTGTACTGTACAGTGTACAGTATAGTACAGTATAATGTACAGTACAGTACAGTACAGTACAAGGTAAAAACAACACTGTACTGTACAGTGTACAGTACTGTATGTACAGTACTGTACTGTAAGAAAAAAGGATAAAGTGCCAAGTTGACACCGGCTAGGGTTGACACCACCATCCATAGTGGTGCTATCCAGCTTTGTGCGCGGAAATCAATCAATGAACCGATACAGTACTGTCCACTGTAGAGGGGAGACGGTACACTGTACGGTACAGTACTGTAGACGCACGGTAGACGCCGTAACTGGACAGTGTACAGTGTACAGTGCACAGACGCCAGCAAGAAAAGTTTGTACCGTAAATCAAACACAATTTTTTTGAGGGATCTTCGATTTTAGTCTATAGCTTGCTGTCGATTTATTTCGCACTTTGAAGAACTCCAAATGGCCGATCAAGCGGCATTGTTGCTTCGTCGCCAGTTACAAGGTAGGATTTATTGCAAGGCTTGTGTTCATCTATAATCCATTCTTTCAGACGATGACTGAGATGGATCGATTTGATGAAAGACAGCGTTATTTCTATTCTATGGTTGTATCAATGAAAGAGGAAAATATTGCTATCATGTTCATCAATACATGCATTGTTCACATCACATATTGGACTACAGTGTTTGTACCCACTAGATCAGTCAGTCCATGCAAAAACCTTTTTTTATTGCTTTTTCTCCTACAAAAATCAACTCGGAATAGCCTGAACAGTACCGTGTCTTAGCTAGAAAAAATATCAATCTATATGTACTGTCGACAAGATGGTGAAAGCGTAGGTGATACCATCGAATCTACTCCAGGTTAAGGGTCGATAAGAGCAAATCGATAGACCACTTTTCCGGTTCAAATCGTCACTTTTATCGTATTTTCGCCATTATAAAAACATTGAGCGTAAACTACCGATCGATAGAGTGATTACTGAGATAGGCTATTTTACTTCTGGCTACTACAGTATTCTTCTGACATTTACCATTTTCCCAATTTGAAATAAATGGATACTGAATAGCGTATGCCATACAGAACAACCACTGTGCTATAGTGTTCATACGGTACCCTTGACCGTGGCTATGCAACCATACAGTATAGTACAGGTACTATTGACTGATAGAATGAAGGCAAACTCGTTACAAAACCTACAATGCTGTCCGTAGGTATGGGTAGGTATACTGCCCATGCAAACAGTTGCAGAATGAAAACATCTTCTACCACATTATACACTTTTACTACCACTATTAGACGATGCTATCAAGGAAAAATGGATAATTAGAAACTTGACAGTAGAATGACATTCGATGGTCGATGTAATTAGCTTAGAAGGACAAATTCTTCATAGTCTAATGTACAGTACTGCACTTTTCCTATCTTACAATAGATTAATTAATTAATTTTATACGCAAGCATATTATGCATAGTATGTTCGTCGTCACGTTAAGTTTATACTCGTCTTTTTCTCTCCAAAATCGCCTTTGGAACAGTCTACTGGTATCTTCGAGAGTTTTCCTTACATTCTGTCGTTTCTTACTTACGCTAAAGGTAGACTGTATTGCTAAAATCGACATCGCATAGACAGCACAAGTCGTAAAGTACTTTGAAATCATAGCGACATTGAAATGTCATGGCTTTCGCCGTACTGGATACTACAAATACGACTCGCGTACTGTGGTAATCGCTTCATGTGATTGATGGCAAACGTACTGCCTTCATTTTCTCTACTTGTAGACTGATTAAGTAAACTTCCTACAAGAAAGCAATAATATAGTTAATATCGATAATCATAACCCCCCCCCCCCTTATTACGGTATGTCTTAAATGACTGACTACATCCAAGTCTGCTAACTAAAGCTGCAGATAGTCATGAATCACCAAGAAATGCTTACAAAATAAAGTGTTCTTATTATGGACCAATTATTTTATATAGTGGATGTAATTACAAGATGTTTTCATTGTCTTGTAGTTAGTAGTTACGTCCTGGATAGCTTAAAATTAACCTCGCTAGTGGATTAGCTTATTTGGAATTCTAAATTTCTATCATAAAAATTACAAAAACCATTTGGTAGATACGCAGTCAAATCCCTTGATTGCTGATAGGCCATTGTAGCTTTTGAAGCTATACTAGTACCCATCTACATCAATGACAAATCGGATGCGTAGTCAAGTAGAAATTAGACGGCATACAGTAGTTTTCAACTTTTTCATGTCCTATTTCTGCAGTGGATATGCCCTATGCTGTGATTGAAACTTTTCCTATCATTAGTGTGGAACATTGCAATGGCTTACATTTTATGGCATTTAATTGTATTCAAGTTATTTGTATACTGCCGTATTAGCTTAATCGACGTTGCATGTTATTGTATTAAATAGAATACAAAGAGGTTGATTTCAGAATTACTTGTGATTGCAAACTGCAATGATACTCGATTAGGAAAGAATTCATTAAATTTAATTTACTTAAAGTGCTATACAGATATCAAGATTCTGTCATGGTTTCCTTAGTGGTTTTGCTGTATTAGCAATCGTTCATTGTACATCAGTAGCTGATATACGCATAGCAATACTTGTTTCTTTACGTTTAGTTAGTATCGAGAATGGTCTTGGGGAATAATATTGTACATTATTCGAAATCATGCACATTTAGAGCTTACTACCATTTATAGACTGGATGAAAACTACTAACGTTTTCTCTCAATCTCTTGATGAGTCTAATGTTAAATTTTAATCTTCTTACAGAACTTCAAAGGAAACCTACCGAAGGATTTTCCGCAGGATTGCAAGACGATGACATTTTTAAATGGGCAGTAATGATAATTGGGCCTCCCGACACGCCATTGTATCTGATATACTGTCACTGACTGTACAATCACTAGTCTTTATTATAATGATGATATCCCGAACCATTTTTGGAAGATTATCTTCTTTTGTACAGTAATAACCATCTAGTTTGTAACCTAGATTGAGTCAAAGTAAATTCACTACCTTAGCAATGATATGTTGAACCGGGACTTTTTTAGATTTTTATTAATCTCTTGCGATATTATGCCTATCTAGCGTAGCATCATTATTTCTTCTTTAACGCATTTGCTATCAGTGAAGGAGGCTTCTTTAAAGCTCATCTAGATTTCCCTAGAGATTATCCACAACGCCCTCCGGTTATGCAATTTCAAACTAAAATTTATCATCCAAATGGTAAGTTTCATGATTACAGTATCAATATCTTTTCCAGTCATGTGGATAACTAAAGGGGTCATTGCTAAACTAACCCACCTATCGTAATGCATTCCGGTATTGCTTAGTCGATAAGGACGGCAAAGTTTGCATATCAATACTACATGAACCAGGAGAGGATAAATTTGGTTACGAAAAGTCATCAGAAAGATGGAGACCTATTCATACCGTTGAAACTATACTTTTAAGTGTTATTTCTATGTTGGCTGATCCGAATGATGAATCTCCGGCCAATATTGATGCAGCTGTAAGAAATTAGCTTGGAATTGTTGATAATCGCTTACATGTCGTTTAAAATTATATTGCATTACTTTTAAGTTGTATCACTATCGAAAAATAATGAAACACTCTAGCTACATCGATGTATGCTAATAATATGAAAAGAAACTAATCTCTTATACTTTGTTATATCTTGTAGAAGGACTGGAGGGAAAATAAAGAAAAATTTAAGAGATTGGTAGCGCAATGTGTAAGAGAAAGTCAAACGTCATATGATTAATGTTATTAGAATAATTTCAAGTACGTGAACGATGTTGTCTTTAAATTATATTATATAACACGAAAAATTTTCATGTTGACTTCTGCGAAAAGTTTAAATATCTGAAAAATATCTATCATTCAATTTAGTTTTGTTTAGTTTAAATAGATTTTGTATCATGTAGCTTTGTTGAGACATAATAGTGTTTATGTTTAGTATTTGCATGATCATAACTTCGTATTTGCAAATGAAAATAATCATGGTGTAATGCTTGCATAACTGAGGACATCACATGTCGCTGACCATGCGTACTACCATTTGTATACTTACACTTGATGTTAGAGATTAATCAAGCGTTATATATTTACAGTTATAAATTTAAACACTACTTATATATTAATCTGCCACAAAGTAAATTTATTGTCCATATGTTAACCAGTCTGATGCTATCTACACATATAACGGAAGGATTTTACAATGGTATTGCTGTTAGCATATATCCTAACTACTGATCGTGTTTGTGTCGTTGTGGAGCTAAATTGCCCATATCGGAATTTGTGGACAGTATTCGAATTACCTTGGTGCAAATTCTATTATTATATCTATCCATACTCATTTATTGAATACGTCAATTGAGCAAAGAGCTGTACGCTATTGTATACTACTCAAATCTTTACTCGCGCTGCATTTAAGTTCTATAAAATTTACGTGTAAAAATTAATGATCAATGAATAATGTAAATCTGTGATTTACTCTTTTACTATAAATAACTGCTTTAAGTACCGATAATGTTCGATTTTATCACTGGAACACTTGACGTTAGTATGTAGTATGATTTAGGTTTTTATAGGTGTACTGTAGAGAATACTAATGTTTTTTTATGTTTTGACTAACTATGCATTGTTCACGTATAAAGTTATGGACAAGTTTTGATGTCATCGTCAGGTGTGATTCATTTGGTATGAGAGTTTTCTGCATGCATTTGTAGTATATCGATTACTAGTAGTCAGATACTATATCGTTTGATACTGTAGTTACTGTTTCGTCAGCAGTATATGATCGATAGACTTTTGATGTTATAGAGTGGTTATTTGCTCGATACCGTAGTAGTAAATCCTCCATTTTGGGATACTGTAGCATTATTTAAATGATCAAATGTCATAATCAAAGGATTTTTAAAAATAGTCAAGCTATAACTAATTAGATTATATTAAACACATTTTCAGTAATGAGTTGCACGAAAATTTGTCAATTTTGTAAGTCGGCGTGAATTATTGAACTGATACTAGTATCTCTGACTGATTTCAAAATGACTTTAATAACATTAATTTCTTTCCATCATTTGAATTATCACATATTATTTGTAAAAGAAATTGCAATGATTTATTTTCATTACAATAGTTTACAAGTAAACATTGGTTGTTAATCTACCAAGTGTCGGTTATGCCGCATCACTTAGAATGCGCAAAATTAACTGGATTTCGTGCATTGACGGTAACATTCTAGAAATTATTGCCATAATCATGTTGCAAAGTGATATCGCCATGTTAAGTTAATCCTAACATAAACGAACTAAAGGTGATGAGTATGTTGAAACAGTTTCTTGTTGATCGCTAAAGCTGTAGAAATTGATATCACATTAGTGTTAATCGATTAACTTAAAAATTTTCCGATTGAATATCAATTGGAAAAGTTTTTAATATACATCTCGAATCTCTATAGTACAGGTGACATTTGGTATCGAGCAGTAGCAGCTACAATATCCTGAAAATTTTGAGTTAAAGTAAATTATAATTTCTGATTAATTCTATTGTGTAATCGGTTAGATATGACTTATTGTTACAACACAGTCAGGAATAACAGAATTAATCCATTATTACGTAATAACTTTACATATTATGCCGACAATTTTTTCTTCATAATTATGTCATTTATATACAATTCGATTTTTGATTTTTAATCCTGCTAAACAGTATGTGTAATGTGCAGTGAAGTATCAGCAAGCAGGTCGATCTTATGTTTACATACCAATTGCAAGATTTGCCCGTATTGCATTATTAATTACCGTATTTGTTAGACTGTAACAACGATCTACCTTAGGCACTGCTTTTGTTACGGTAGATAATTGTTTAAGTTTAAATTTATCAATGTATAATACAATATTTAGTGTTCATCATATAGCAATTCATTTGGAAGTACAGAATCATGATCACGATTATGTTTCCATTGTAACAAATTGAAAATAACATTGCTAGAGTGAGTGCACTTTATATCCATCGTCAAAATAGCGGCTGGCAAGATTTTGCGCTTTAGCTGAGTTAACGCCTTTCGGGACTTGAAGAAATGTTTCCCGTTTACCAAGACGATGCATGTGAGCAGTACCGCGATGATTTCTAAACAGGAATAGTAAAATTTTAGTATGATCGTTTACATTATCAAGTACTACGGCATTACTTCCTTACGGAGGCTATTTGCGATTACCTTAAGGTTACGTTGCTGATGTCTTGGCTCCCATTAAGGACGCTCTCCATATGAGCTATCAAATTGATACAGTCAGCTCGTTGACTCTGATTGAGATCCTCTAAATTATCTACATCAATATACCTGTGTTAAATTAAAAATTCGGATCCAAGCTTTATTGCAACTTTGTATAATGCTAACCTTTGGTACTAAAGTAACGACGTGAATGCGTCATAAATGAATACTTAAGGGAGGAAGCCTAAGGGACATTAAATAGACGAGTAGATAATATTTAGATTTACCTTGTAACTACAATTGATGTAATCACCTTAATATCATATCAATCGGTATATGCCTCATTTTTTTTAACCGGTATCCTACTTATATGGCTCTCCATTTCTCCAATCCACCCAAGACATTGAATAAACTGTATGAAATCGAACACTTTATGATTAAAATATAGAAATTTTTTAAATGTATCAATTTTTACGGTCTAAAACAAAAGTTCCATAACAACAGCAGAATAAACTCATGGCACGGCTACAATAGATAGAGATATGAAATTATATTGTAATCGTTTCTTTTGAACATTCTAATAGATATGTGGTATAATTATAGCATATCCATACAAGTATTACCATAGAATTGTATCTTTTAAGATCGTATTCTCTGTCTGGATGTAGCAGTAAAGCCAAGGACGTTTCCGAATGACATTGAAAATATAAACAAACTCGCTTCGATTCTTTCAAATCCTAAATTGACGGACAAGAAACATCACAATCTATATTTATTAATGGAAACTATCATCTCTACACAAACGGTGAAACCAGAATTCCAATGTTTCATATATCTGAAGTTGTGGTACAATTATAACCGAACTGAAGCTACGATTAACCTCATATAGATGGCTCTGATCTTTGCCATTGTTTAGCCACCGTAAATTACTTAAAGACGACGATTTTATGATACTTTGAGGAGAGGAAATTTCGTTATTGTTTTCTAGACTTTGTGGGCTAGAATTGCTTTCCATTGCAGGACCAGTATCATCAAATTTTATCGTATGGTCGTCAGTATCTTCAGTACAATTGATTGAACCTTGAGTACTAATAGAGGGTTTATGCAGTTGCATTTCAGGTTCGCATTCAATTTCTGTTCTCATATTCTTTAATGCAAACATAATAAAGAAAATAGTTGATACACTTTTAGTCAACAGTTAAACAAAAATTGGTGTTATTAACTAATTTCAATTTAATAATTTAATCAAGATTGCGATTTCCATATGCTTGCAACAATGTACAAATTTATGACAATACCTCGCTCACTTGGCTTAATAAGGTAATTTGAGTTTCTTCAGTACTTTCCTCGCCTGTATCCTCTGTATCTTTACCGAAATGATAATTGTGGGTAGGTGCATTACCTCCAATGTCAAGGGATGCGATCATCGGTATTGCAGCAGCAGATCCTTCGCTACTACCGTCGCACTCCCTGTAATCGCTGCAACTAGTTCGATCAACTGAATTTGTATCCGTTGTACTTGTGTCTATTTCTACACTGTTGTAAGAAATTTCATGGAAGTCTTGTGGAAAGCTATCTGGTAGCGTAGACGAATGCTGAAAGGATAAACTGCGACGATGGACTGGAGTTGAGGTGAATCGATTACTGATGATTGAAGCTGACGGTGAATATACCATACTCTGACGGCTTCTATAGCGGCTATTTGAGCTTTCATCGGTATTATCAAATTTGTCTAAGTAATCTTTCAACTCATCGACAGGCATATGGACAGAGACAATTTTAACTTTATCGGAAAGTTTTCCATTGTCTAAAAGCAACATTAAACACAAAATACAGATGGTGAATTTACAGCCATATATTTGCCGCTCTATTGCAGACTGAATTAGGAAGAGACTCCGAAAAGTAGTTTCTGCATTCTGATATTTAATACTTACGCAAGATATAGAAATCCTTACATTTTAATTAACATTACAACTATACTAACTAGTCTTGCTATCGATATAACAATAACGCCATTACGAATCATATACGTACACCTTACCTTCGAATGCTATGTTAAAAATTTCCTATCAACATGTGCAAAATAAGAATTATGTTAGTTAAAAAATTATAATTATGTGCAACTATACAACAGACTATAAGCCGATACAATAAGCAGAAACGAAGCACAAAAATGATGTCATTACCGAATTACGTCCATGCCTTAAAAGACTGAGATATGAAGTTGTATTCGGGTGAAAGTGGCTGCATATGATCCTGGTAGAATAACAATACACGTATCATTAATCGGCTGCGACATTTATACAATGCTATTTGATCAGTGGAATTTGTACCAATTCTTGTATAACATCGCGCCAGCAATGACGTCAAACTTTTCTTTACATTCTTGTAATATTGGAATAATTAACTCACTCAAAGCTCTACTCCCCTAATATTGAATTAAAACCATTCCGAAAGATTATTCAACCAGGTTACATGAAGCTCAGTAAAACATCTATTTGAAGACACTAAGTACCCTGGGCATAATTCGGCAAGGAAATTTCCCAAAGCAAGACAAATATTCTGTATTAGCACTAAAAATTAATTCCATTAGTACGTCACCAATGTTTTTCATACGAGCCAAAAACTCTCTGCGATCGCCATTGCATGCCTATTAATCATGATAAGAAGTAGGCATATTGCAAACAGTAATTGAAAGTTACTACTATATTTCCATTATATTATCATATTTTGATAAGATAGTGCTAGAAACGCTATTTATTGGTAAATATTGTTTAACCTCCAATAACACGTCAAAATCGCAATAAAAAAACTGGAAAGTATTAAGTAAAAATTCCATTTGGCACTTTATCGTCATGCCAAGACTTTTGACGTGATTCCCAAGAAACTGTTCAAAAATAAGATAACATGTATTAAGCATTTTAAAAAAATCGTAGACCATGAGGAAACAAACTTGAGGCAAATTTAGGTTAGACACAATGTTTATGGCTTTGCTTGAAAGATCATCCTAGTAACCTGACTAATTAGCTAGCTAACAGTCACCAGACTTTCAGTAGCTATAATTTCCATAGAGTGAGGAATATTAACTTTATGATAGAAATTTCTCTATATTAAATAATTACTGATGCTAAGCACACCTTTTGTCAGTTTACATCCATTACATTACTTGGGAAAGATGAGCTCTGATCGTAATAAGAGAACTAAATAGCATAATAGTGTCATGGTATGCTTTACTCTGTTAAGAAAGAGAGTAGTAATTTTAGAGCAAAGCAAACGTTGCTCAGTTTACTGTATGATATAATTGCTCTTTCAGAGGAAATTAGAAACCAATTCGTTCACTCCAAGTGCACGCAAGATATTACTACTCTACTGGGATATTTGATGGAAAAGTGCATGACCCCGCAATCTAACCTGCAAGTAAAACTACAGGCAGCAAGTTCATCTGGGCAATATCTTAGTAATAACGCAATATCCTTACTGTACATCGCTACATTGCACTAGATATTTCTTAGTATTTAATCATACGGGTAGTCAAATAATGCGTTACCGTAGTTCGATAAATTGCAACTAATATTCTACGTAAGTTTTTTCTCATACCGTCCTGTAATGTCGCTTTAATTAGACATGATCCAAATTGGAAATTACTAAAATATCAGTTACACTATCTGTAGTGTATACAGTATAGTATTTATCTATAATTACAATTATAAATATATAATCGATTCATTTAGCTCGGTAATAGCTGATGTATCTTTCAGTCAATTACTTACCAGAACGAAATCTTTGTGCTTCAAAATTCTGATCTTGCTTTTTCTGCTATAAAGTAGTAGCTTACTACTGCTAGTAAAAGACTGATTAACCAGAAAACAACCCAAAAGCTGCTTGCATACTTCACTTCTGACGCTCTCGTCCTATTATCAAATAATATCACTTAATTATTCAAATATTTTATTCTCAACATTGCATAAATAGCGCTACCTCAACCAGACTTAGGAAGCGCAATAATAAGTGTATTGTCGTTATATTGATGTCTCAATGAAATCTAATGCTATTAAGACTATCATACTTTTAAATGAAGGTCATTTGGGGGATGTATTTCAAGCAAAACAACTGATAGCTTAATTAATAGCAGTCGCAAAAGTAATTAATTATGCAGCAAACTGAACACGAGGTGACAACTGAAAAGTTGAGAGGTGTTGATAACAAGATAGAACAAAAGATAGTGGCAATATGTCATCGTGTTCGTTTTGAGAGCAAAATTATATTGAATAGCTGCCACTGTTGTTATGATAATCTAGAAGACTAATTAACGTTTTGGTAGACAATATCCTCACAACTTTAAAAATATACTTTGCTATATTTTTCCACAGAAGCTGTAGACTATGTAGTAGACCTCTGTAGTAAACATCATATGGTAATGTTGGCATAATCTTTATAAATTATGCATCATTAATAATAGTAATACCCTTGTAATGGATAATTTTGATGCTTTATTTATGTCTTGGAAGAATGTCCACGTAAAATAAATATTCTAATTGCATGTTCTTATAGCTAGTTCAAAACTTCAATGTCATTCTAGAGGTGCAACTTTATTGAATTCAACATATGAAATGGATCAGCATTAATCGATTGGGTATTACAGTACAATAGCCATTAGGATTAGTACAGTGTAGAGTAGTCGTTATGCAATACCGGCGAGGGCCATCGAGAATTGCATATTACCGTAAAATGTATTCGAAGGCATATCAACGAATGATGAAAGTGTCAAGAAATAATGTTGGATTTCGATCAGACCGATAGCAAGTCCAGTATAATTAATATTTTAAAGCTAGTATACGTGTACTTACGTCAGGATAGTGATATACTAGACAATCAGATGTATTTTCACTTTCTTCATCCCAGTTTCGTAAATCAAGTATTAAGCAGAATTGAGCAGGAAACAATAAGGTATCATCACCAGTTAAATCCGTCTTATTTGTTTGATTCATTTTCAATAACCTAGCATAAATGAATAAGCTCTATGTTTAGCGTCAATGGATTTAAGTCTTTTCAGACAAGAAATAATTTGACAATACTAAATGCGCGCAGAAAATGCAGCTTGTAACCAGGATTGTAGTATGCCCGGGAATTTTTATATCTACCTGCTTCCATATAACTCAATCCTATTGTATTACATCATAGTTTTAAATGTAAAATTTTTACTATTCCTGACTACCAGCACCGATTGGAATTTGAACTGCTTATCATCGCAATCGAGTAAACACACAAATTATGCAAAACTTAAACTTTAGTTTATCGATTTGTATCACTTTGGGATAGTTTAATACAGTATAGTAACCGAAGTTGAATACGAAAAAAACAATACTGGCCATAATGTCGTCAGTCAAGTAAGTCTATTATTCCTTAATGAAAGAAAATGAATTTATTTGCTCATCATCAACATCCCTGATCGCAACTTCTTGAGTGGATGAGACTATGCGTGTTTGGAATATGAACAAAGATTGACTACGGTATCTTAAGTTGTCCAATTGAATAAGGCATAAAATGATATGGAAACTGTTTAATACTGCTGATTTAAGGGCTAGACAGGCATTTTTGTAAGGTAAAATCATAGCGATGCTGATACAGATGTAACATGTTCTCGCAGATATTCAATCTTGATTGTATCGTCCGACTTACACGAACGGGAAGTTGATGAAGTCGAGAACAAGTTGATTTACTTATACCTTTCTAAAATCAATTTTTCACTGTCGAGTTTAAGTTTCTTCCATAAAGCGAATCTTCTTCAGCAGTAAATAAATATCCAGCAGTGAAATTTTATTGCCATTGGTGATGCATGAATATGATGATGGATCATGTCGATGACGATCAGCAACTTCACTTCACTTGTTTCACTTCACCAGGAAACTCGATGCATAGATGTCGTCACTCGTTGAACTATCTGCGGGTGCGCAAACCATGGAAGTACAGTACATTGTAGAACCGTAACCCTAACCCAGTTCTGTACTGTACACTGTACATTACAGTACTGACTTTGGTAAGGTACAGTACTGACCGTCAGGCGTTGGACTTGTAGGGACAGTACGGAAGACGAGATGATTGTTTCTTTTCTTTTCTTCCAACCCTGTCTCTGTGTTCAAATTCTCAAGTCTTACTACACCTTGTATGTTAAGTCTTTATGAGCTTGTACAGTACAGTAGATCTGAAAGAAGTTGGTTATCAATATTGTCATACAGTACTGTAAAGTGACGGGGTCTAGCGTTAAGAAGAGAATCTCTTGGATTGCTGTAGTCCGTGTGACATTATCGCTCAAAACTGTACTGAGCAGTATAGCACACAGTACCGTCAGTACTGCGCGCAATTTTGACCGCTGAAGTGTACTGTACTGTACAGTATTGCTCAGTATGTACTGTACACTGTACTGTACTGGACTGCTACTGCGTCGTCGCAAACCTATCTAAACAGCCGTAGCGTCAAGTTTGGTGGTGCCAGTCCACTGTGTCCGTCTACTCTTCAATTCTACCTACGTCTTGTTGGCAAAATGAAGCGCGCCGCCGAGAGTGCTGGAGAAACTCCACCAGCTAAAAAAGTCTATCATATTCTACCGGTGGATATGGGAGAAGTGAACAGCGAGGTAAACTTGCTTTATCTTGCACATGAATCCTTGACAATTATATCAAGCGTAATGGACTATTTGTGTACTGTTGAAAAGGCTATTATTGCTATGTAGATTGCTGTAGTATACTGTAGCTTGCTTAACAACATCTTTTGCTTGCTATGGCACGTCACTGATAGGATACCGTCTATAATTTGTCCACGAATCTTGCAATCAGTAAAGCGAATTAGCACTAACAAGGAATCAGTTTTACCCTTTTGATCCATATTAAAACGACCTGCTACTGGATAATAATATGTAGGGTGATAATTATAGTTAATCTGTTGGTTAATTTATTCCAGCTCTGCAGTGGTATTGATAACAGTTTCCAAAGTCAAATTCATTTCTGAAACATTGTTATGTTAGCGATGTCAAGCTTCTGCATTAACCGACAGCTAGCCTTCGTTGGCAAAACTGTAACGAATGTTGTAGGGCTATTGCATAATTTGTCTAGACAATCGACAAAATGACTTGATATTCATACTCTACAGTATACTAACGGACAGAGTTATTCCAAGTTTTAACAATCAGTTCTAAATATACCTTGCATACTCGTAACTTGGCCATGATGCATGTTCCATCACGCCAATGATGAACATTGAATCGACCATTTCACTGAAGGTAATTGACTCTATTTTTGCTGGATTGTCAGTGGGTACAGTTATCATACAAGCATCCCAAATCAATTGGTACTTCCTTGTCCAATATCGTAACGAAAGACAGGATTTAGTTACTGTTTACCTTATTTACTGTTACAATCTTTGTTGGATGTCAAGAATGTAGCTCGATATTGAATACACATTTTAGCATAGAATAGAGAGAATTAGGTGATAGAAAGCAAGCAAGAGGATCAACCAACTAGTGGAAATTGCTTCCAGCAAGGGAGCCATTGGTTCACTCTTGTCAACCGAACTGCCATACTGACTGTACTGTATTGTATGGACTCTGCCGTGGCCAACTTGCTACTCACTTTGGACGCTACAATGCACACTGTAAAGTACTGTAATTGACTAGCAGTTTACACGGTAGACATTCAGCCCCCTGAGTCTTGACTGTATTGTTGGTGCAACTATAATACAGTATACATCATGCACTAGTGGACGAGTATCATGATAGAGTAGCGTTGGCGAAATCAATACAGTAGCCCAGTGCGGATAACGTACCCAAATGAGTGATGTCGCTATGGTTCCCATCGGAATCATATGGCAATTTGTTGTCGTTTTTAGCCGCAATGACGACGTAATTTATAGAGATGATAGGTAACCAACAAACTGTACCATTAGCTTATAGTAGGCAGTAACATCTAATACTAATCTTACTATCCATGTTATGGTGCCACTTCAAGATCTTGCAGTATTTTACGCTTTACTGTACGCATTTTCATTACCTTCTGATAACGAATAGAGTAACTATCATAACAGTAAATTGGCAGATGCAAGATGTAGAAATGACATTCTATTAAATCTGTATCCAAAATGAAATTATTTTGTTGACGTCAAGGCAGAGAATGATAACCTGAGAAACGATTCTAAGCACATTATGATGGCACACTATAAATTTTCTATATACTGTACTGTACTGTACTGTATACTTTCAAGCTTTAGAGTCTGCCTGGAATACGCAGTTATTGTGGATAACATGTTGATTAGAAATGAGTTCCTAATAACCGACCTTCTACTAGCCTTAGAAACTGTACTTGATTAAATTAGTTACAACTCCTTTTACTGTTATCGATAAATGAACTCAATCCGATATTTTGACAATGGGTCATTAATTGGATTTCATCTAATCATGTTATTCGCCATGTCCACTGTAATCGATCATTCGATATTCATCTTCTACCAATAATTCTTTCGGTAAGTGGGTTAACACGTTGAAGTGAGTCTAGAAGAGTCCAAATAGTCGAAACTCAGACGTTGGTGTACTAGCTTCTCCTGTAGTTGTCATTAACAGTGAACCATGTCAAAACTGACTACAGATTAATATTGTGGCATACTAAATAGCCACTGATTAATTAGATATAACCTATCAATAACGATAGTTGTTCGATTGTATATTATGGTCTGTTAGCACGGGATGTTATCTAAGTAAACAATTACCCTGAATTTGAATTTCTCTAAATAAATTGGTTTCTGTTCTTTGTTACGATTAGGTAAAGTAACGATCACAATCAAATGTTGAAGTATGTCAGTTGACGACAATTTAAGATTGCTTCAATTTTATATTAGGATGACCTGAATTGTAAAACCTTAAAGGTTCAAAATAAGCAACTTAGCATCCGTTTACAGCAATTGCGAGCCGAACAAAAAGAATTGAACAGCCGTATTACTGACCTAGAAAAGCGTCGTGTTACTGAAGATTCAGCTCTTTGTACTATTAACAGGTGTGTAGAGCATTCTAGTGTAATGCATGGCTACTGTCTTGTTATTTACCGTAAGCAATATTACCAAGGTCCTTTTACGTCTTTTATTGATGGTGTTACAACTGATGCTATTTTGTATCGAGCCAATTGTTGCTTTCGTCAGCTTTTTACTAACTGTACATTAGAATTAAAATCAATACAGCAGGGTACAATCAATACTTTATCTCTATTGCTAGAATCAAATAATTTAATAACTAGACGGCTGCGGAGTATTCTTTCCAAATTTATGCAGCCCAGTTAAGAATCCGATGCAGCTGTCAATTTTAGTCTTACTCTAGAAAAAGTTAAATTACTATCGATAAATTAAAATAGTTAGTATGCAAATATGTACAAAGTAGTATCATATCATTTACCTGCATTAAATTAGCACTCATGAACGTCATTTTTAAGTTTATTCTTTTTTTAAATATTCTTATTGCTTTTTCAATCCCATCTAATATGTAGGTTCTGGAATCAATTAGACGATGATTTACAGTCTCTGATGACGCGTTGCGATCCCTCCGATCATATTGAAGAAGGTAACACTGTCCTGATATAAGCAAGCCTTTCAGGGTGTAAACCTTTTTCTGTTATCTATGATGGTTAAAATCGAAAAATAAATTAAACGTAATAATGTTGTACATATGCTCAGAACCTCGAGACGCGACCAGATCATTTTTACAAGCTTTGGAATATGACGAGAATTCATCGTCATTAGAACGTGATCTAGAAAAACGTTGTGCCTTTTCTAAAGTCCTTATGTCAAAGTTGCTGATAAAAATGGACAAATTAACTCAAAAACAAACCATTTTACGCAAACTCGCAAACGAAATGTACGGGTATACCACTAATGGTGCACATAATTACTCATGTTAATACAGTATATACCTATATATCGTACTGGTTATGTCTTGTATTGAACTCTTATATCAATTTAAATTTATCAAAGATCCGATGACAGTTCGAATCGTAATAAGGAAATAGATATTACCTTGCGATCAGAAGTTGGAGATTTAGCTTCAAGAAATGAGAATCTAGAAAACCTTATCACTTCATTACAAGAGAAACAGCATATAAATAAATTGCAGGTACATGACGTAGATATAGACTTACGATTAGCGTGGTTAGAAGTCAAACACGGTCACTCGAATTCTTCCAACATACTCATACTAATTCAGTTGTAACGTAACTTAAGCTAATCTCTATCATTCCGATTTTGTTTCTTTTTCCCGCTTTCCTTACAGCTGTCGCAACTAACTGACAAAGCAAAGTTATTAGAATCAGAATTATCTGAAGCTCTTACTGAACTGGAAGATTACCGATATAATTTAAACAAAGAGAAACGGAAAACTGAAAAATTAAATAAACATTTAATGTTGATTGATCAATCTGGAAACGGTTCGCACTCTGGAATTTCGCTGTTCATAGAGACTGTGATATTACTGCATTAGATAACGTACTGTATATTTCCTTATTCCCGGTAGTAGGACCGTCGGCAGCTTCCTCTGTGGTCGCTGAACCGACAACGCAAGGCAACAACGCCGAAGCCAGTGGTGTTGGTGATAGTGGAGAAGTTGAAAGTACGCAAGTTGTTCCTATCAATCAGGTATTATTATCGCTACGGGACCATTCATATTTAGGTTTGATTAAAGCTATGTTGTTAGTAAAGTAATTCCTGCTTTCTCTAACAGCATGAGGAAGTAGTAGCAGAATTGAATGAATATCGTGACATCTCCAATAATCGATTAAATGAATTGGAAAAAATGCAACGTGAACTAGAATCGGCTAAGAGAGAAGTAGAGACGTTGAGTTATGAGCGTTCTATTGTTGCTGAAGATGTAATTCTGAAGTCGGGGCATTACTTAAATGTTCAATCGAGGTTATCAATAGCTGAAAGCGAAGCTTTGCAGGTAAACTATTTCTACTATCATTAAGGTTTAGGGCTTTAATATGCTAGTACCTTCAAACTGTTGTTGAATGAAAACAACATATTCAAAAGTTTTTTACGATATCATTGCTCTTAGTTGCGTAGCCAAAACGAAGATTTGCGAAGATTAATTAACCAGTGTCGGTCACAGCACGAGTCATGTTTAGAGCAGTTGGAAAGTGATCAAATCAACTTATATAACGAAGCTAAAGCTGAAGTCACAAGATTGCAGAGTATATTGCAGAAACTGACGCAAGAATATGATGATATCGAGACGAAATACCAGCAGGTCACTGCTATCAATCAACAAGAAGGTGCATAGTTTGCAGAATGGTTTATTCTACGAAATGTATAGGATACTATTTGTAATCATTGTCAGTATACTCCAGCTCATTCACAGGAAATATTTTTGTATTTTAAAGCGTCTCGATTAGCTGAACTTGAATATTTCGTGAAAACTACCAAGGTATGATAGCGTAAGCGATAATGGGACAAAAGACAGAATGCTATTCTAGTATTATTATTGTTTTATACCTAATCAAGTCAATTTATTGTAATCATACACAGGATCGTAATAAACAATTGACCGAAGAAATTGCCCGATTAAAGCAGAAATTAGTTGATTCCGATTCGTATCGTGAGAAAAAGAAACAGGCAAGAAAACTCGTCTATATCATTCATTCATGCAAAGTGTTCGAAATTAAACTCTAAATTATATATTCTACGTGGTAAACAGGATAATTCTAAAACTAACAGTGGAAATGCTGACTCAACGAATGATCATACGATGAAAGACTTACGAAATCAATTAAAGTTAGATATTTAGTTTCTACGTAATGCGGCGAATATTTTTCTCTAATCTTCTACGTTGAATTTAAACAAATTGTACCTACTTGATTAATCATAGGAAAGCACAGGAGAGTCAGAGGGAAATGAAAATTCTTTTAGATGTTTATAAATCCAATGTGAAAGATAAACGGGATAAGATAGAGGTCGGGTTTATATGATAATTCTTCGGTTCCATATAGCATATAATGATTATGACGGGTCATAATGCATCGTTCTTTCACGGATTGTATGGGAGAAAAATTTAATAAAAAAGGTATTATTAATATTTTTGTTATTAAATCAACAGATTTTAGCATCAGAACGCCGCTCGAAAGAAGAAGTGGAATATCTGAAAGTTAAGCTTAACCAGAAAGATACGGAAATCGCAAATGCGGAAAAGCTAGCTCTTGAAAAAGTGAAACCCCATATTCTGGAATCCGAAGAGAGTGTCAAAATACTGCAAAAGAAACTTGCTAGTACTAAACAAGTAGGTGCCCTTTTATGCTGTGTCAATAAACCTGAATGTGTACAGCACATGCCAAGGTATAAATACTGAAACGGACCCTAACACCTATTATTTGCTTTGCTCCTTACTAAATCAGGAACAGGAAACTTTATTGGCTGAAATGGAAATGACCGGTCAAGCTTTTGAGGATATGCAAGAACAAAATGCTAGATTACTGGAGCAGATCAAGGAGAAAGATGATATGAATTTTAAACTCATGACTGAGGTACATTCTACATATTTAGAAGATTATAGTTTGAAAATATCGTTGTTTAACGATGTTGTGTTGTTGTTACCTGAAATTTCTGTAGAGTATCAAAGCTAATCAAACAAAGAAAGTATATACGAAAGAAAAAACGTTCTTGGAAGAGAAATTATCACTGCTACATGATGAAGTAGAAAATCAAAAGATTTTATGCAAGAAATTTGAAGAGAATGAAAAATTACTACAGTCAACCATTGTATGATGCCAATTAGTTAAACACATTCGTATTCCGTATTTATTGATTGGCATACGCGTATAATAATAATTTTTATAATATTTTTTAGACGGTTAAGGATCAAGAGTTACAATTACGAATTCAATCATCGGAAGCTTGCGAAAGAACTGTAGGACTTTCTATGAGGTTTTAAATTATGGTACTAATCATTTCAAATAAGGCTGATGATTTTAAAATATTAACTTCCACAGCTAAACGAGCTTCGCCAAACAGTGATAGGAAACAAAATGGAGTTAGATAACTTTCGATCACTTTATCAAAAGGTAATATCGGCTGCTTACTAATCAAGAGTTTTCAAACAACATTTTTGATTACATAATTCTCCATGTAATCTTTAGTCTCTAATTAAATATTACGCTCTGCTCTAATTAAACACCAATAGATTCAAAGCAGTTTAGATAGTAAAGTAAGTGACTTTGAAAAGGATTCCTTCAAGCTGAGGCGTGTACAGGTATTTCAAATCAATTAATTTTGTCTTGTCAACTTCTGATAATTTCGAATTTATTGTTAAACATCTGTTTTTGTGTTTCTGCTCTAATGGATTATAGGAAGAAAGGAATAGTCTTAAGAGAAAACTGGACAGACTGAAAAAGGTAGATTCAATGACATCAGCAGATGAAGTGTTATCAGAAGAAGTGAAGATGTATAAGGTAAAAAGGCATCTGAATACAATTCATGATTATGATGTTGTGATAACAAACTGAATTATTTGTTCCTTCTGATTCTCTGAAGGCGAAGTTGACATGCCCATGCTGCAACGTAAAGAAGAAAGATACTGTCCTAACAAAGTGCTTCCATGTGTTTTGCAGTGATTGCATAAAAACGCGCTATGAAACACGACAACGAAAATGCCCTAAATGTAATGCGGCGTTTGGTGCTAATGATTATCACCGATTGTATATTTAAATATGAGAATTTGAATTAAGTACCGACTTTGTATATAAATATTCTGGTGTTGAGTAGGTCAATTGAATAGGAATTATTTAGGGTTTTGAAGGTGTATAGTGTAAGCCTACTTTACCTAAAACTTTTTTAATCTGAATTTAGTACGATGGTAACGAGACCTTCCGTTAATTACTAAATGAGACAATCTACAGATTTTGTATCTGTAAAAATAATGTGTCATGTTGCAATTCGGTTGCATACTAAATTATTACTTGTTTATGGTTCAGGTCTCGTATTTTTTCTCCTATATTAGTTGTTTTATGACTGTATAGTATAGACAAAAGATGTCAAATAAAACGTTAAAATATCGTTATTTTGTTGCATCAAGTGTAAGCAATTTTATTTCTTGACGAAACATCTTGTCACTTTTTTTTAAATTATGATTGATTAATCGAAGGTGACAACAAATAACAGAAGCATTTTCAATGTGTCATTTATTACAGTACACATTGTCCATCGCAGAGTTAAACCGGAACATAATCTTTTGTTGGCTTATTTTCTTTCACTGCTTATATTGATAATATGGGCCTAAAAAATGTTTTAAAATTGGTGAAGAACAGTATAACGCACTGCGATGAAACCATTAATTTTTATGCGATAAAAACTTCATCCATATAACTATTTTATGTATTAACATGTACTACAAACCTCTTGACTGCATAAACTGTGAAGAATTAATATGAGGATTCATACCAGCGGTGTTACTTGAAGCTAATGGACGCGGTGTAACTAGGACGTTATAGCTATAACCTGGTGTAGGACTTTGCTGAGATAATTGCTGATTCTGCAATCCAAATCTCGGACTTATTGCTTGCTGGTAAACTTGCGGCTGAACTTGTGTTGCCTGACGAATTTCATTTTGTTGGACAGTTTGTGGATATGTAATTACTGTGGGCATCGGCTGTGGCACATTTTGGATACGTTGACCAACCTGTGTCGGCAAATTCATTGCCATAGGCTGACCTGCTGCAGTAGGCGAACCTATATAAGTAAAGAACGATCAAGTATTTACTGTTAATGACTGATATTTTGTAAGTCATACTGCGTAATTGAGGATACCGTAATAAAGCGACTGCATTTGAGCTTCATACGAAATTGTATTATTCGTAGCCTGCACCAAACAGTAATTGACGTAATTTAATGACGTTACTTTACCAATTTTATAAACAATTGATGGCAGATTTTATTATACTGTTATTGAAAATAGTGAAATACTAACGAATCGTGCCTGTGTTGGATGTTGCTCCGTATAGCCAATATCTAAGTAATCAGGATATGATAATATTTATGAATTTTTTATTCGGTATAATTACCTGCTCATAGAAGTCTTAAAACAATCTTACTGTTAGGCCCTTGCATACTTGGAGTGTTATAAGGAATTCCGGGATGATTCTGGAATGAACTGGACTGGCTAGGAACGTTATTAGAAGATCGTCCTGTAAACGTAAGATTAAAGAATTTACAAAATTTATAGTCTTTAAATGTAATCTGAACTGTAAAATATTACCCTTAGATTTATGCTTGCTTTGGTAACTACTGGATGTATTGGACGACGTTTGATGAATTCCACTAGTGGTGGTAGAAACCGTTACAGTTGTTGTTGGTGGACTACTGCTTGACTTAGATTTCTAATATTTGCAGAAGTTGTATCAGTCATAAAGAGAACAAAAATACAAAAATTAATTTAATGCAACAAAAATATTGTCACAGTTTTGAACATAGCTTTAAACAAGGCTTCGATCATAATAACATTTAAAAGTATAACGTTATTAGCGATCATGCTGTATATTATAGTTATAGCCATCATCATATCACGAACAGCAGGTATATACTGTAGTTTAATATTGGCTCTAACCAAAGTGCTGGTAGGAGTGAATGCTTTAGCATTAGGATTAAGCTTTCTGAAAATATTTAAAATTAATAATCGGTAAACATCACGCTTCATGTTATTTCGATTTTACCGTTACATCTCATCCGAAAATTAATTACTATTAAGTTCCTTCATTAATGAAATAAAATGGTAATCATTTACATCTATGTATTTTTCACTTTACAAATAATAACTCCACTGTAACTTACGATGATTTCTTCTTTTCATTTAAATTCTCAGATTTTGCTGCGCTATTATCAGAATCTACTTTATCATTAGTTGTTGAATCTGTCGTCGAATTTTCATTGCTGCTGGTGACAGGACCAAACGTGAAATTTTTATGAAAATCTTTCAACCTTTCAATATCTGTCAATGACCATGTTATTCGTAAATTAGCATCGCAAACAAAATAAAAAATGGGACAACATTGAGTTGTCGTTAACGCTATTACTGAATCCTCAGTTATGCATTGTCGTTACTATCAATTTTATTCTTACCAGGTTTTGGCGCTTGCCCTATAGAGGTTATTTCCTGTTTCTAGAAGTTATATATACGTGTAAAATATACTTAATTCAATCTGAGAGAACAGCTAAAGATGCGTTGCATAACAGCGTGTACATCTTTCAATAATCTTTCTACTACCTCAGATGAAATAGCGTCTTTAGCGGTTTCATCTTTCACACTTTCTGCAACAACCGTGTCTTCAGAAATTTCTTTACTGCTGCTATTCTCAGGGACATCAACGTGATCTTTCGCTAATTAAAAAAATAAATATGCTACTTCATCAACGATTTTAGTGCATACAGGCATCATGGTCGAGCAGCAATTGAGCTACAAATATAATGAACGTTATCGTATAGGCAATTATCTGCTAGCTACCTTGCATATTAGAGGCACCGACGTCAGTAGTATTATCAACTTTATCACTAGTAATAGTGATTTCATCTTTAGTTACTAGAAAATGATCAGAGCAAATCGGATTTACTAGTGTATAACAGCTGATTTTAGAAAAGTTTATTTGGTCATCACTGTTTAGCCTTTTCATACGGCAATACGTATATGTATACAATATTATTGCCTCTGGCTACATCAAAATTATGAACAGTAGTACCTTCTTTACTACTAGTGACTTCGTTATTGCTGGAAGCTTCACTCTTGTTATCAATTTTGATATTATCCTTTCCGTTATCCTGACTTTTTGTACTAAATTAATTATAAAAGATTAGAAATAATCGGTATCCGAACAAAATATTCATCACTTCTCTTACCTTTCGGTATACTTATTGATGTTCGAATCGCTAATGACAGCGCTATATTTTCCTTCTTCCGTTAAGTTACTGTAGGTATTGACTTTTCGATTTCGCTAAGGGATTTAAAAATATCCAATATTGAAGCCATACGAAATTGCAAGTCGGAGTTAGTAGATAAATAGTCGATAAAATCGCTTACATTTTCAATATCTATTTCATAGGCTAGCCTTTCCGCTTCTTCCATCTTTTTCTTATATTCCAATGAATTCGTTTTCTTTAATTCAGTCCTACAGCAATACAGCAAATGGTCAGCTATTGTATTAGAAACTACTAGTGCTCGCCCATAACGAAAATCGATAAATTTATCTTAGGATTGAGGATACAAAATACTTACGTGTAGTCTTTCATCGAGGAATCAAAAGTTGATTTCACGCCAAACTATATTGTGGATAAATGAGTAGACAACGCAGATTATTATTATTGTGATATTTCGTTTGAAGATCAACATATAATAAAATGAATATAAAAATTTAGTATCACGAAGTAATACTGTAGTGAGCTTTCCCATACCTTAGTTTCATTTGTATGTAACATATCCTTTGAATCCCAACGAGCCTTAAGAGAATTTGAAATAGAGATAAATGTAGCGATGTCTTGCAAGAAGTGATAATTAAAAAAATGCTATAATACCGAATCATCATCAAAAAGGCCAAGGCCCTCATCGGCTTGTATACTTGGATCTGCTTCCCATGGCTGTAAACATTAAAAAGCATTGGACATCAAAAGAAGAATAAAATGTATTGTAAGTGTGTCATAATTTCTAGATCACAAAAGTTCAACTACAATAACATTTTAACACGTACAGTTAATTCACGTCCTTCAGTTTCGCCATTGTACCCGCTGATAGCAGAATCAGTCATAAAGTCCGCTGCTGATAAAATTAAGAATTGAATGATTAATTTAATCTGATTAATGTCTTAGATACAGTTTCAATATCTATGCAAGTTCAAATTCTTTCCTATTTTAAACTGTAAGATATCGATTTACTACATGAAATATAACTGAAGGCTACAAATAAACCATACTAAGCATAATGCATTAACATTGCCATCTCATTTAAAGATAGAATAGATGGCAGTAGCTTAAGTATACGCTTTTACCCTTTCCCATAGAGCACCGACAATTAATACACTGATTGAAGATGATAATAGTAGCTAAAACTTCACACGTACTAAAGTGATATTGCATAAAATGTAAACTTTTACTTCTATAGTGTATGGCAAAACATCACTGGTGCATTGTTAACACTATTAATTATTTACATTTTTTGTATTTCATTAAGTTGACATCGCGAGCTTCGATGTGAACAATGTCTTTAGGATGAAATATCATATTCTCCGTAATATTATCATCGATTCTAAGCTGGTTTCCGTTATCGCTAGTTTTAAGTCTATGGACAGCATTTAAGACAATATCCGCCTATTTTTATCAATAAAATTAAAACACTTGTTAGTAACCTTTATCGTAAATGCTATCAATTTCAACTTCTTTATTTGGTAATAGTTTTGCTGGCATTATCACAAAATACTAAAGAACGATAATGCTAGTAACTCGTTACGTATAAATTTAGAATGCAATATACAGAAGTCTAACTGAATTAACTAATAGTCATTAAGTAAGCTTCGTTACACAGCGTGATATTCTGGTAACATGTAATTATTTAAATATGTTAAATTGCACTAAAAAAAGGTTCCTTTACCTTTGGTGAGCACGATCGCAATATTCCTTCAAACATATTCCCATTAGTAACGACTACACGTACTAATACACCCTAGAAGTATTAGAGATGCCTATTATGAGAAGCAATTTTCATTCCAAGATTGCTACTAAATTATACGCTGAGTAGTTTAAGAATCATAAACTAGTCTAGTGATCATAGTACTACTAAGTGAAAGAGGATTGTATTATACAAATATAAAACAATCGGAATATCATATATTCATAAATAAGCCAAAAGTACTGAATAGAATTTGTAAATAGGACACAATCAGTTTACACTTACCATTAAACTAGTTACATGATAAGTAAAGTGAGCATCGGCATATACACCCTCCAAGTGTCCATGTGTCGGCTATAACGTTACATTCAAACAGTGTCATTTAAGATTTCAGTATTCATATTCATTTTTATGACCACTACAATGCTCAATTTGAAGTGTTAATAGAAATTTTTTCCACATTTCCACATTTCCACATTTATAGGTTTAAATTAGATTACATATCATTCTATGCAATACGATCGTACATCGCGTGATTGGCCTATCATATAATGATCACCAAACTAAAAAGCTTTTATAATATTATACAATATATCATCTATCACTATAGTATAGCGCTCTAGTATTCCAGTCTGGATAGAGAGACAATTGCATGTATCAATGAATTTAATATAGGAAAAGATTTTGTACGATATTACAAAGCTGTATAGACGGTAACAATAGTTCACATTTGAGTTCTTTCTTAATAGTAAAAATTTTATACTGTTATAAAATAAAGCAGTAATGTACTTTTGTTTCAAGACCTTTCTATGGCATAAACAAATACTCGATTGATAGATCATTGATTAATTATAGCGATTTATGGATTATTTTTCACATATTTTATGCCGCAAAAATGACTAAAACAATGAAAGCAGTAAGAACCTAACCTTAGGTAAGTATTTTTAAAGAAACTGCAAATTGAATAGCAACATCAAGCAGTACTGTATATATGAATCTTAGTTGATAGCAATTAACGAAGCCATCTATAACTATAACGTTAGACCACATGCATATGCAGTGGATAGATCTATAATACCATTGAGTAACAATGAGCAATAGTAGCTCCTAATAAATCGTACTTACATCATTGCTGTGACTGCTGTTGAAGTTGTTATTACTTGAGGGATAGGAGTGTGACTTCCGTTGTTGATTTCTGTAAGTTTTGTGACCACTACCGTAGAAATAGTAGATTATGATCAATTTATTTTTCGCTACTACAAACCATTTTACTGACGTATTTTGTAGTTAATCAATGTTCATTAAGCTAATAAGTATGGCAATAGTGATTGATATAGTAAATACTTAATCTTCAACGACAGTATTTCGCTTGATACAGCCCTTTCGCTGTCATACGTATACAGTACTAACATAACATTAATCCCTCAATATTTTAATTTTTGCCTCTTAAAGATATACTGTTGAATAAGACAATCTACTAGATTATCTACGCCATTCACTTTTATCTACACTAGGTTAGCCCGGTAATAGTGTAACATTATTCGCTAGAGATATAACTAGCCGTCTTAGTAACCAGGTAAAAATGTATGTCTCAACTCAGGAAAGCATTGAGCAATATCAGTATGTTATTGTTGGACGTCGCTAATAAGTTGTTATAGTAAATTGGACAAATTCATTGTAAATTATTCAAAATTTCAATAAAATTTTAAATTTAGTCAATGAATTGACTTGATTCCAATTTCTACCCGTATCTGAATTTTAGTTGAAAACTAGAAATACATTCTTTAGAGATTATATTGGCAATAATGATGTTACACATTTAGCAAAGTAAAGTAGCACTCACTGCAATTGATCCTTCATTTACAGGCATATAAAGGTCATTGTATTTTGATAAACAAATAATATTACTATACAATATCACATATGTCTTGGGTTGCATAACTGCGTACTAAAGTTAATCAAGAAGTTATTTCCTTGAGAATCTATATAGACATATATAGCCAATGTTATTGATTTAATATTATGCTTGTCACTATTCTACTAAAAATGGAGAAAAAACTGGACATTATTAACCCGATCAAAACTGATCCTACAGTACTGCGTAGTGCGTCATGACATCATCGGTTATTCCTGTTCGCGTAAAGCATGTAGAACCAATATCAAACTACGCCAACTTATGACCAGTAAAGTCGTTCTAATAATTCCTAGACAGAATAAGTAAAGCTCCCTATCTGCTATTATAATACCACCAATAAGAGAAGAAGTGATAGGATAGAATTAAGAAAGGGTTCAATGTCTCCTTTGTAAATTACATGGTAGTGTGTTGTAGCTCGATTGTTGCGAAAGCCATGATTCTACTGTACTGCGTCGCACAATACCTCTATGATATACTGTAATGTACAAGTACAACCATTATCATCGATTGTCTATGACTTCGAAAACAAGGGCTGATGCAAGTTATTGATTACCCTCCATTCTACTAATCAATGTAGAAAGCTATAAAACGCCGATGGAACAAGGACTATCAGTCGCTATGAAGTGTAATTACTCTATTTGTCCCTGTAAGTGATTGTTTTCAATTTTGATAGCAAGTACTTATATTGATCGAAGGTCCCGATATCATCTATTCCAACGCAAGCAAACGTGCAATAGTTGAAAAGTTTTAAATCAACAGAGCCTAATTAGAATAGAAAGCACCAAAGTTTCAACTTAATTAAGGATAACTATGAATGAATAATATCGCACATTATACTCCGCCGAGCAGCACCAATCGTCGATTAAAACTACAACTTCTTTTTAATTAATTTTCTGTTGAATACTGACTGCATCGTATGCAGATTGCTCAATAGAATGCTCTCGATCACTCTAAAGAAAGAGTAAGTGAAAAGATCAATTGATGAATTTATCGGCATCCATCCGTGACAAAATACAGTAGGGTATGGTAATGAAGTAAGACCATCTATCAACCAATAAATACATTTAGGTATACTGCAATTTATGACAGTTGTTGCTCTATTCAACTGGAAAACTGCTACTTTTCAAGTAGGCTGCAACCACAGACTGGATATAGTAATAGGGTAGTTATGGTTACCAATCGGGGAGGAAAGTAAAGCTGACGCTATTATCAAAACAAGCACGGGCAAAACAGCTACAGCAAATGACAGAGTATTCACACGGATTACACAATAACTAATCCCAAAGACGAGAAAGGATTATGGTACTGTATGAAGCTGCAACCATTGACGTTAAATAAGATTGACTGTCGTGAATAGATTAATTAAAGAAGACGACTGGAGATGCATGGCCACGCCAGGGACTACTAAAAGATGGCCACCGTGTCATACTGCACGAGATATTATGATAAAAAATTACTTGTTTAGAAAGTATCAGAGACAGGTGTTGAGTTTTGAAGACAGCGACTACTGTAAGAAAATTGTTTCATCATAATTTGCCAAAGAAAACTGCAGTATTTACTGTAGTTAGAGGATGGCCCAGCGATTCCAAATACAACACTACTGTAATTTAATACTGTAAAAGGAGTCCACAGGCACCATTGCTGCGCGAAAACCCACAACGAGAACCGCAAGGGACGCGGACGTACAGACGGGAAGTCAAACTACACGAGCAGCGAGATACTGGAAACGTAGTTGCTAACTTGGTATACGGTATGTAGTCTGCAACGTCATTACGCCCTACCAGCATACAGTATAGCATGACACTACTGAGAGCATTAGCCATTGACTTGAAATGAGGAAATGATGAGAAGAAATCCCTTGGCAAAGTACCCGTAACATTACTGGACTGTCAATGGAACCGTACTGTTAAAAATGCTGTTGGCTAAAGCACAGGGAAGCAAAAAGAGATTGGACTACCAATTACTTTCGTACAAAATCATCATTTACTCACCATTGGGCTATACTGTATTAGTGAATAACTACCGTAGATATCATTTGCGGACCAATGTCGTCCCAATCTAAATATTGTCCAAAAATGGAACTGTAAACTGGCGGCACACATTGCGTTGAATGTGCCTTGCGGGAAAGTATACGCGTAGGAATACTGCTGTGCGAGACGATGAAATTTAAGAAACTGATAATAAAATCACTTCTTTGATTATTTATTCTGTCCTTCCAGTATTTTTAACCACGCTTAATAGTATAAACGGATCATTGACCCATTTCATGTGGCAGAACACAACGTTCGATCCTGCTACAATAATGGACTTATTAAGTAATGTAATGTGGATTGTATAATATAAAGTAATGAAGTACTGAATCAAGCAAGTATCCAATCTGCCCTTCTTGTCAGTGGATCCAATCCATACGCGTATAATCATAATACAGGACAGTATAACAGTAACTAGTACCAGCACTAAGTTACTGCATTGCATTCACAATACTTCAGCAGACGTCCAATTTAGCAACTAATCCAAAATAGACGCAATGATATAACATGGGCGATACAGAACCGTGCAATAATAGCTGAATCATAGTGTACCGTACAACGCAGTGTTGCATTACAGTGATCTATGGATTGCTCTCAATCGCTAACATTTAAGATATTAAGGCAATGTACAGACTGTTTAGACTGCATCATTCCTCATCGCTATACGAATAGTCTCAAATCAACTCATTCCAGAACTTTTACAATAGTCTACCGCAAAGATAATTTAGTTAGTTTGTAATAATCATCATACCTTATTCTACGATTTGAAAATCCTCGATTGTTGGTACCGCTACTACGAACGCTAGTACTCATCCTGTTGTCTAAATCGAAATTAACCCCTTTCGGCCAATTTTAATTTTAGATCAAAGTAATCGACGGATAACGATGTGACTAAAACGAAGAAATTTCAAGATTACTTTAAAATACTTAGACGGCTTATGTCTACATAAAGTACATATACTCTATTATACATAACGCAAATATCACTACATGATGATAACTCCGCTCATAGTACTGTAGTAGCACGGCAGCGCCGTATTCGTGAATCTTTCCTGATGATTATCGTCGTATTTTCTAGTAGTTTGTAAAACAGTACACTACACTAAATCATACGTTTATGGTGTCATTTTACTTTTTATTTATTCTAATGTATAGCACTTTATAAATGTAGTAACTAATGCTTCGGCACTACAAAGAATGACTTTGTAATAATGCAAAAGATAAATTCATTTTCTTCAATTAGAATAATATAACGTATTGGTCAACTATTTCTATCGATCGCTTCTAATCAAGCGAGCATCACAGAGTTGATAGTGCTTTCCATACAATGGCTTACGAAAGTATAAGACTGTATATAGTACTATCCACATGAATATAGTAGTATTTCATGACTTTAAAGACTGAGATTACAGCCTTTAGTCGGTTAAAACAGGAGTTATGCTCTAACATTTATAAACACATTGTATGAATATATCTAGTATATGCGTCATTGCACAAGGCTTACTATACAGTATACAGCATAGTACCTGCGATTCCAGAGTTTACAAACTTTACCAAGTTGGATTCTTCTCCAGTTGCGTCACCACGTCAATAGTTCAAGCGAGCTAGATTCACATTAACTGCTACAGGCTTTATTAATTAATAAAACCTACGATGTACGATGTGTTTAAACAAAATAATGTCAGGAAAAAGTCTTTCAAATTGAAATTCTACTGTATTTGATGAAGTAGTTTTACGCGTATTAGATATAATTTAAGATTATTACTGTAACATCATTAGAAAGAAGCGATCTCGGTCAAGCCTAAACGCTTGCCTATGTCATGAGCGCCCAAATCCCAGTGTATAAATGTCGCTTTTACTACAACGTACAGTACAGTCTTCAATCATGCTACAGTACTGTACTGTACTTAAGTACTGTACAGCCAGAATGAGATCTTCACCTCGCAGCGCACTGTACAGTACTGTACTGTACAGTACAGTAGACTACAGTACAGTAGATGCTGTATGGGTAACGCCTAAGGAGTTCTATCAATTTTCAACTGTACAGTACAGTACAGTACAGTACATACTGTACTGTAAAGTCACACAGTACCAGTACAGTACTGTACTGTACCGTTATTCCACAATAAAATTTTATTTTCCTCCATTACCCGCTGTACCCGCTTTAGGGGAATTTTTAGTTTTACCTTACTGTACTGTACAGTGTACAGTAGATGGCACTCCCTGGCAATGCAATACAATACAGTACAGTACAGTACATGCTTCTGCAGTGATACTGTACCCATAGGCCCCAACCTAAAATTCCTGTTTTTATTGATTTATTTTCTTTTTTTCTTTCTTTTTTATTTTGGAAAACGATTGATTGTATTTATTTAAATAATGTAAACTTACATATACATTCAGTGGTTATCCCATATGGTCTAGTGGTTAGGATTCCTGGCTTTCACCCAGGCGGCCCGGGTTCGATTCCCGGTGTGGGAACCAGTTTATTTTTTATTTTATTTTTCGTTTTTTCTGGCGTACAGTACACTGTACAGTACAATACTATGCAAGAGCAAGAAAGGACACCAAAACAAAGCGAGCAAATGTAAACAAACCACGCCGCTGCATCTTTTGGAGCTAGACTGCAGCAGAGCTCCCCAATTTCATTGGGTATAAAATAACACCAGTACTATATATGTCTATGTACGCTTCTATGATAGGTTCTAAAACCTTTTTTAGATTCCTGTGGCGTTGAGTTCAAGAACGAAAACATGTCATCATTATTTCCTATAGCCATTATTAGTGCTGTCGTTATAGTACTGTTACTAAAAATTTACTTTGGTAACAATCGAGCAAAGAGGGAACCGCTACCTACGAACGTGGTCAGATTACATCAATTTAATGCATGCAGACCCTTGCCCAGTTGCTCGCCTTTCGTCATGAAATTAGAAACATACCTCAGGATGGCAAAGATTAAATATTGCAATGATTTTAGTATGACATTTGGAAAGAGAAAGGGAAAAATTCCATGGATTGAATTAAATGGAGAGGAAATTGAAGATACTAATTTTATAATGGATCACTTAAACGAATTCTTTCAAGTAGATTTGGATAAAGATCTTAGCGATGAGGATAGGGCTAAAGCTCATGCATTGAAAAGAATGATGGAGGAAAATACCAGATGGTAAGGTCTAGTATGTCAGCTTGAATCGAGCGTGCTTTATCGTGTGCAATTTTTATGTTTACTTGATCGTACACTTGGTATTATAAGAAGTTCTACTAGTAGCTGTCTACGCACACAGTAATAATTGAGCAAAATTAGTATTCTGTACAGACACAGAATAGCTTTTATAATGTAAACTTATTGTCAACATCACTGTACGATACTGTAACAATTACTGACACTTACCATAACACACAAAATATCAATAGCGATATCACTCGCAAACGGCACTGATGAATGTTATTTCAAATGAACTCGTTCACAATTTTAGGGCCAGCATTACTAACGTGCGATTTCAAAATTCAGCTCACATCTCTCATACCTTAAAAGCTGCAAACTTGCCCAGCTACCTATACCTTATCTTTCGTTATGTTCTTGCTGGAAAAGTGCACAAAGACATGAAGAAGCATGGAATAGGCAGACATTCAACTGAAGAAATTCAATCAATCGCCATTGGAGATCTTAAAGCAGTTTCGGCTGTGCTCGGGCATAAAAAATATATGTTTGGCGATCAACCATCCACAATTGATGCAGCCATGTTTGGCATCATCTCTAATATTATTTACGGTAATCCACCTGAGTCCTCGCTAACTTTATACGTAAAGGACTATTTACCGAATTTAAATAGTTATGTAGAAAGAATAAAGAGCAACTTTTGGCCTGATTGGGAGCAGCGATGCGTTCACTAACTTTAACCAACCTTCTTTTAGCACTCACTTTGATTAGCATTCCAGATTAATATGCGCTCGACAGGCACATGCAAACAATAATGGCACTTGACATAGTAGCCATAATACTAGATGATATATTCCAAATATATGATGCGATGGTAGCGATATTTGCATTCAATCTACAGCTTAATAATTTTTAAACATCAAACGAAAATTTAAACTAATATAATGAATAGATCATGATTTATGGATATATAAGTACAGCACTATGTGCATTGCAACAAGCTGCAGATTGTACCATCTTGTTTCACACTTTACTATGATCCATGCCTCCTTAAGACCTTTTGTCTCTGTAAGACAACTTTGGTAAAAATCCGATTGAAGCTTCCGATATCACTATACTGCAACATCTCGTTATTACAAAAGAAAAGAAAAATATGAATTTAAGTTTGACTAGTTTGCTTACAGGTATAAATGAAGCTAGTCAGTTACCAGTTACTATAAATATCTAAGAAGTATAGATACAATATTTTGGCAAGATGATTAAGTATTGCTACATTGCAATCTTGTAAGATATACGCTGTATGCGCATATGTAGTAAGTTGTGTATAAATATTCATTATGATACGTATATATTCAACACTAGTTCATAATTTAGCTTTTCAAAGGAGTTCAACTATATGAATTAAATATGTACGTCTGTGTACGATTCTGTTTAAAATCTACAACTTTGATTCCTGGAATATTAATACCAAATAAGTAGTACATCGTACTGACTTAGGCGGCATGATTACGTACAATTGGAGTATCATTAGAGTTTCATAATTCGAAAAACGCCGTTCAATAATATAGCATTATTTGTTTAGTAGCCATTAGAACTCATCTCATTGATTATTATACTGTATGATTATGGTATGCAGCTACCGCTACGGTAGCAAGGCAAGGTCCCATCTATCACTGATTAAATCAATTATAAACTAATAGAAGAATATTTATCTTGATTTCTTTATGTGATAGCCCGGTATTTACATGGTACGTGTTTTGCGGGTATAATCAGTTTAGTTTAGGCATATACTATATAGTGTCCTGTACGATATCTCAACTTAACTCAGATGAGTCTAATTTGATTGATTGCATTAATACAAAAATTTATTTAAATTAAATTAAAAACTGATATAATCTTCTCAATGGACCACAAAGTAATTACTTATTTGTCAGTTGTTAGGTTTTCGAACCCTTCTACTTTGTAATACGGATGACTCGCTAGAAATCTCCTGAAGAGAGTTCTACGGACTTGCTGTAAATTTTATGCCTAAGTGAATATGCTACAGCAAGTCTAACAGAATAAGTTAAGAGCTTATACTGTAATGCATAACTAACGAAAATCTCATTTCGTACAAACGAAGACGTTGAGTAGAAATCCATTAAAATACGCAAATCTGATGTCGTCTTATGGACTATAAAATTACTTTTCCCAGTGTAATAAAACTCCAAGACACATACTGTATAGTGTCTATACCAGACGAATTCAGATAAATTTCGTCCCAACAACCCTATCCTTGCAGAAATTCGTTAAATAAATCTGACATAACCTTCACGATGAACTGCGGAAGTATTTGTCGGTAGATCGCCATCCAATCGGACATTTCGAATATATGAGTGATACAAACGATCGACAGTATATCCTTGCACTATCTGATCTTGCCTTCCATACTTTTACTCTAAAGTATTGTAGTTGTGTAATAAAAATCGATAACTTAATTAAATTAATTTATACCGCAACGATTATTCCACAATACATAGGACAATTGGATAAATTCAATTGGGTGCTACACAGTACGGAGTCATGATCTTCACAGTAGGTTCTAGAGCTATTTCATATGCATTCAATTGATCGCAAAAGCAAAAATGAAGGCAAAATTGAAACTTTGAAACGGCAAAGACGAACACAATTAAATATTGGGGTAGACAACTCAAGCACAGTAAATAATATCATTGTTTGGAGCCCTGTGTGCAAGTCATAATATAACTTTAGGGTATCTACAAAAACCAATCATAGTATAAAACAGCCTCAAAATTAGCATTAACTTTGTGATGTTGTACAGCAAAGTTTGGTTTTTGTATATGCCCTATAATTTTACTGATCTTAATCTAATTTGGGGCTGCACTATAATTATTAATCATAAACGCTCATCATTCAATAATTTAGCACTATTTGAAATAGCTGCCGAGATTATAATCCCTCTACTCTCAAGAATTTCATTCGAGTATTATTTGTGATGTAAATTTTTGGAGCTGTTGCAACAATGGAGTATTACCTCGCCGTCTTTTGTAATCTTACGTCAAAATCAACTCTCAGTAAAAGTACATTAGTAACGGACAGGATGAACTTCTCTATATTTAACGCTTGCATTGCGCAGGATTTCTGACGTTTTGACTGTCAGTAGAACCTGTCGAAGCTGCATCCTGCAGACTGATCATCTAGTATTACTGCTGGCCAAGACTTTTCATTTTTCGATACTACTCTTCCTTTCTGGATAGTCAGAGTCGCCATCCATTTAAACATAATGACATCTTTAAGTACTGTTGACACGAAGTATGTCTTAGCTGGAACTGCTGCTGCAGGTCTGCTAGGCTACCTTGCAATCAAATTTTTTAAAAAGAATGCTAAAACGGTAGACCCTGGAGTTGTCTTATTGCATCATTTCCCATCGACATCAACTATTCTTAGTCCTTCGCCTTTTGCTTTAAAATTGCTAACATTTTTTCGATTAACCGGAATACCTTACGAAAATGATTACGATCAACCGTTAGGCCCAAAACAAAAGGCCCCTTGGATAGAAATCGATGGTAAAGCTCATACGGACTCTTCATTTATCATCGAATATTTAACAGACTATTTCAAGATCACATTAGATGAACATCTCAGTGAGGAAGAACGAGCTCTTGGCAGAGTGGTGCAGAAAACTTTTGAAGAAAACACTGTCTAGTAAGTTATCAATGGTGATAAAGTAGTAGCTTAATTTATTATTCAAGTTTTATGTTGTAACTATTTTTTACTATCTGGCAATATGGATGCAATTGCTTGAGTATAAGAAACTTTTCCTGAACCAAATTTGTGATTAAACACCTGCAGATGTTGTCGGTAAACGGATGAGTTCAACATGCCTTCATGCAGCACACTATACTGTATTAATTGCCTTGAAAACTGCTAGTATTAACTGACTTTAAGTAATCAAATTCTCTCTATTGCAATACCTGTAGATAATTACTTCTGGATTTGTGCCACCTACCGTACACCTAACTAATGCACAAGTACAGATCCCTTTGACACTACTGTCTTGCACATTATCGTCATAATTTTGCAATCAATCTAGTATCAGGGACTGATATCCTCTTAAATCGCCATACCATGCTCTTACAGTCTTTGCTCACCCGTAGATAGGATGCACTGCTACAAATTACCAAGATGGTGTACTAAGCAGATTGCTGGTAACTTCCTTTTATCTACTGTACAACCGAGCAATCATTGCACTACGGTAGCACAGTACATTCTGTATAATGATACGCAAGAAATAAAGGTTGTGTATCATTATCTAAAGTTAATACTAGCAACCCTACTAAAGATTTGTATTGTTCTCAATTAGCATTAATGGCAAATTAACTTTAACTAACTTTATGCACATTTATATCTAGAATACTGGGAATCTGGTACTGTCATACGCAATTACAATATTGTAAGGGAAAGAATGGACAATCTATTAATACTCTTAGCTTCGAGTAGCCTAATTTCTTGCTACAGAATTATATCTGTTTATGAATAAATCATCCATTAACACAGTTAAACAGTCAGAGTATGGCAATGAAACAGTCTAAAGAAATAAACCCTGAAGAAACGTACTCTTCGCTTAAGGAAGTACAGTATAAGGCTATAGAAAATTGTACATCATCGACAGCATAATTTCACGAATGTTAAATCTCAATATTTAATGCTGGTCATTTACTTATCACAGTCCCGTCAGATTTTCGATTTCCCAGTTAACGAGAGCTCGATTCGATAGCATATGTCCATTCTAATATTACTTATACATTCAACATGTGACTTCTGATAGAAATCGTTCTTTTGCGGTGTAATGCACTTTAAACTGTAACTGATATTTTAAATCAAATTATATATTAGCATTACAGTGGCTCGTAACAGAATCTTTGAAGATAGCGAGTGGTTTTTTTCGACCGCCAAATCTATATCCTGGATAGTGAGAAATCTATTTCTATGGAGTTTCAAGAGTCGATTAGGTAAAAATCTGAAAAGTCATGGAATGGATAAGCATTCTGATGAAGAGATTAGACATATCACTGAAGGAGATCTACAGGCAATTTCGACAATACTTGGAGACAAGCATTATATACTTGGTGATAGGCCTACTTCGTATGATTGTGCTTTATTCGGTTACCTAGCGAATATTGTCTATGGACTGAATCCACAAAGCTGGCCAAACATCATGCTCCGTGATAAGTTTCCAAATTTAGTTGAATATACTGATCGGCTTAAGGCGGAATTTTGGAGTGACTGGGATGAACTTCTCACTAAATAACTATATTGTTATTAATCATACATAAAGCCTTAGGCTTTCAGTTTTATTGCTAATAGTTTTGCTATACTGAATTAACATATTTCAATTATACGCGCTGAGTGGAGTAATTACTTTACAACCTTACTCTCTTTCATTGCTTTTATGAACAACAGAATTCTAAAAATAAAAATTAACTCTTTTAATAATCAATTTGTTTTATCGTCATGCTTCGTTATTAGTTAGTGATCGTTCTCGATATCCAGCCACAGTTCATTTGTAAAACTGATGTAAAGACTAAAAAGAACTGCTATTCGGCAACTTGAACTATCCCAGCAATTACCCTATCATTCGGTAATGATATGGAGTCATAATTGACTGTACGAAATAATTTATGATACGATAATTGGATTTTATTGCATCGTAGTCACTTCTAAGGTTGAGGTATATCTATGCTATGGTTGCAATCCGCTATTACACGTATTACAATTTTTGTCTCACTTACAGCTAATCATCCAGTAATAGCAGCTGCAGTACCTCTTTAAATTCAGGCACACAAGTTAGCTTGATGTTCTATGTTATTAACTTGTATGCTATTTGGTGAAATTTTTAATTTTGCATTACATCTGCAACACACTCTGAACTTGAAATACACCAGCACGAATTTTACATTTTTTAATGCACCAATACGATAGAAGAGAAGGTCTAAGCGTATTCGTAAAGGCAACAGAGTATACTGTATAATGTAACTGAAGAGGCTTAAATTGATCTATAAGTATTGTAATATATTTAAAGTCTGCATTTATTCCGACTAATGTTATTTTTAACAACAAATATTATTCAATTATACTTGTACCTATGAAACTGAAGAAAAACCTTACATACAACAATTTATAAGCAAAGTTAGCACTGTCGTAAAGAAATATATCATGTTTTTTATACTACGAAAAGGTGCTTTCAAATGCAACAACAGTACAACCATAACAAATACAATGAACATCCCTAGTATAGTGCAGAATATGCACTATGCTACAGTACTGTCTATGTAGTGGCTGAGCTTATGTTTCATTTCTTCAACGAATATTAGCTAGCTCGAGCATTACACAGTAATTGGTTTCTTTATCATTTGCTTATAAATGGCCATTTTAGGGCATAGTACTGTATGTACTGATATTGAAATAAATCTGCAGCAGTACAGAACTGAGTATACTCTGTTTAGTATACAGTTAAAGTACCGGTAAAAAATAGGGAATAGAGCATACATCATAAATGAAGTAGAGGTAGAATTATTTCTATTGCTTTATAATATTACTGTAGATGTTAAAATTATATCCAATATAAAGGGAAATAGATTTTGAACAACTATAATGTTGCACCTTTTGTAGCATAGCAAGGATTAGTAGGAATGGGCAGTGTACGAGTATAGGTAGCCATTGTTATCGAACGACCTGATCTAAACTTATATTTTATATCTATATAGACTTGTTGCTAGCTATCTGTAATGGATTAAAGCAAACTACGGGATAAACGTTTAAATTAATTTCACTAAAATAAAAGGAAACCATTAAATAGTCATCAAGCTCCACAAGCTCGCTGTGAAGTATTAATAACTGTTAAAAGTGCAATAAGCAAAAAATATTTAACGATTCATCTGTCTGCTAAGCATTACCTTTCTGTATAATTTACACCTGATCTGAAGCAAGGACCCAACTAAAACATAACATTTACTACACGTGTAACATGTATAAAGTACTTTCACTAAAATAAAAGCAAGCAATGAAATAGCCATCAAGCCCACCAATGAGTAAACATAGTATGCGTAGACATGACTCGGTCGCATTTTTTTAAAATGGCCAAAGAGCTCTTCTCTGTGTCTATTACCCAATGTTATTGTTGATTTAGTAGAAAAAATTGCATCACTTAGGAAATTAAGCGAATGTTGTTACAGGCATGATTATATACATTTTAAGGAAAGACGTAACTGTAGTCAACATTACGACGCAAGTTAGTCATGCATTACACTATTTTGAACTTTGAACAACCGCATGATATAGGTGCGGTCGACCTAATACTAATAGATTATTGAAATACTTCAGATAATTTATTCTTAATTTATAGGTATATTTATAAACAAAAGATATTCGGTATTCAGATTTTTACTATTTGTATTAAAAAGAGCCGCGTACTGAAAGTTACGGTGGTCTAATTATACATTTGCTCTACTGTTAAGTTTATAAATTACCGTACTACTGGATGCATCCATTACGGATGACTAGAAATTAATATAATTTACTGTACTTGTCTACGAGTCATATTTCATTCTACTGCTATTCAGTAGCGAATAAGCGATATCTCACTTTCCTGAAATACAGCCCAAAACAAACCAACAAGATTTGATTTCTATAGCTGTTAAGATCGCCATCAATATTCAGTATTAATGCTATTACAATTGTATTAATACAAGAGTGGTAAGCATTTTCAAAAACACGTTTATATTGCAATGACTCTGCCAACATTCATGTCAATCTACTATTTCTAGCAAATCAAGTGCAAGCGGAAAGTTTGAATCGTAGGTCGACATTTTCTACCCTAACATTATACTGCACATATTTATTGAAAATAGACAGCCAGCAATATCAAAGTTGTAGTTCCGTACTGCTGCCGTGCGATTTTAATTTCAAGTCAAAAATAATCTAGACACAAAGCTAGTAAATATCTAGAGGAAAACTTTATTTTTTTTGCAAATCTTCAAAGCTAAATCTGCTAACAACTAGATGAACCAGTTCCTCTAGAGAAATGCATTCGTATTTGCTAAGAACACTTGTTGTACTAATCGGAAGCATGAGCCACTTAAATGATCCATGTTTAAATAGATCATCCATAATATAGTATTGATACGTTGCCGTATGCATTCGAAGTCTGAAATTAGCAACAGCAAATTGCAACAGAAAATCCTAGATTTGCTTTGAATATAGTAGTCGGAATAGAATAGAAAATAATTACCTAAACATAATATACTATTCATGCTCTTAATTGCGTTTGGTTGAAAAGTCCATAAATTTAATATCGATTCCTTAACAGCTTAAAATTAAGCTTTTCTTTAAGCATTTTATCAAAGTATAATTCTTGCAATATTTGTGCTAGAGAAAGTAGCATCGTTATGACATTATTTGTAACTTGATTATTATTTACTTGTATATTTTAGTTGATTTGATCTTAATGCGACTATGGACGTCGTTATTGAGGATAGAGAGCGGGCATACTGTATCAGTATCGAAAAATAATTAGATTTTTGCAGTCATACAACCCTACAATGGTAGATAACTGTTCTAGCTATACTGTACAATTAGAATAGGACTTTGTTGCGTTAGCCGGATTAAAATTGTTAACTTCTCTACCATAAAGCTGCGATAAAATCATCACTACATTTCGTAATCATAGAATTTATACTATATGGAAAATGGCTACAACTAGGAATCGAATCTTATCATGTTCGCCCACAAATATTGAAAGTCTTTGAGTGCACTTTCTTTTCACAGAATTTATAGAGGAAATAGCCACTACTCCTGTTGTAGTAATTTCAAATTAGTAGCAGAATATCGCCTTTTAAAATTTCGTTCGTTTGTTGGACGCAGTTTAAATTTCAAAATGCTTTTTTATTGGTACTAAAAATATTATTTAAGCTAAATAAAAAATTTAACCTAGAGTTCGTTATCAAATCTATCATCAGGCTAATGCTACAACTTAGCAAATAATCCGTAGATTTTATTCGAGGCTAAGTCTATTTTTCCCCCTAGGCTATATATTGAAGTACGGTACCGTACAGAATTCCCCCAAAAATGGGAACCATTTATGTCTTATGTAGGAAAGTTAAGATCATCAACGAAGAGGTGTTTTCACAGTAGGCTATTTCTGATTGCTCCTTTGACGGCTGTTGGCATACATTAATTAATTACTGTAACTACATCAAATACTTCACGAATTAGCACTAATACAGTACGCATACTTTAATTCGAATCTCTGTATTAAAATAACTGTAACTTGACTGCAATGAATTAGCAACAACCATTGATTACACCATCCTGCAATGGAAATCCGAGTTTAGCAATACAAGCTAAGGTATCTTATCCAGATGTTATACAGGATGCTACCAGCCGTAGTTACCGTAATTGATGATTTATACTCAAACTGTTTCCATTGAAGCATGATTTACTAAAATTTCACTATTCTAGGATATAAAGAAGGCAACAGCTAATTTTTCGAAGGAGCACATGATTGGAGCAGGCGGCTTTGGTGAAGTATACCGAGCGAAGTTGCATTCATTTGGCGTCGTTGCCATCAAAAGGATTAAGCAGAATTTGGTAAGTAATCTAGTAAATGTTATCAAAGCACCTCGTAGATTACTACTTTATTTTCATAAATTTCAATTACGATATGGATCCACACCATCAATTTGCGTACTTTTGATGATCGGTGTAATGCTTTTCTATGGTGTCTCACCGATATAATAACAGATTCCAACAGATGATCAACGGGAGTGTCAACTTTTATTTCAGTAAGCATCAACTATTTCGTAGATTATTTACTGCATCGTAGTTAATGCAATGAACATAGTTTATAAAATTAAATAGTTAGACGGAACGGTTATAACCATTTAAGACAGTACTGTCTATCGTTTACTGCGGCATCTGTTTTAATTAGAAATATTAACAAAACGATAGCATACCGATATTGTATATCCTAGAATACTTAGATAGTAATTACTTCTAGATATGAGCATATTAATCTCGTTCGATTGCATACCTCATTACGGATTGATGGCCACCTTTGTATGGTGATGGAGTTCATAGCCAATGGCAGTTTAAATTCAAGATTACAAGCGAAGGTAAATTGACTCATAAAAAAGGACCTTAGTAGAAAGCTTGATTAACGCTAGACGACTGTAATGGTCATTGATGAGAAATATTAATACAGCTACAGTCATAGCTAGAAAACTCTAATAGGATAAACTGTAATTGTTATAC